TATAGATCGACTTTCTAATCAACTTAACTTAGCCACAATATGTTCGGATATTGATATCCTAGTGCTTATACTAGTGTAAACACGAATCTTCTTTGATAGCATCTTTTGTTACCATGGATTGCTTTGTATCATTATTTCAGATTAAGTTTTATGCTTCACAAAAAGTTTTTGATAAGCCTTGTTAAAGCTACTAGACACATAACTTACTATGTCTACAACTTTCTATCTCCAAACAAATGGGCAAATAGAGTGTACAAATCGAACCGTAGAGAATACGTTGCAGGCATTTAAGGTGATTTATCATAATGATTGAAATGAATTCTTAACACCTTTAGAGTTTGCTTACAATGATAGTATTCAAACAAGTACCAATCATTCATTATTTTTTTTTTAATATTGGTCAACATCCGATTATGCCAGCAACTCTTCATTATTCCATTGACAACAACTTAACAATAGAAGAATTTATACAATGGCTTATAAAGACCTTACAAAAGATATGGCTCTACGTTCTTACCACATAGAATTGATAGAAGACTATGTAGATAACCATCGGCAATACAAGACCTTTTAGAAGGCTGATTAAGTCTTATTCTCTAACTCCAAGTGGTCACTTGCTACATCAATTCAAATCTATAAATTAGCAACTCAGTGGCTTGGATCTTTCTACATTTCTGTATTAATTTCTCATGTTGCATATTGCCTTGAGCTTCTATCACATATTTGGATCTATTGAGTCTTCCATGTTTTACAACTAAAGGAATTTCATATGGAGCCAAAGTTCTTTTTGGATTGATACCAACAACCACCACTACCACTAATTGTAATTGATGACGAATAAGAATATGAAATGGATAGTATTTTGGAGCATCCCTACCTTTGTCATGGCAGAGGACATCTACAACTTTAGTACAAAGTTCTTTGGAAAGGTTATTCCATTCATGATGCAACATGAAAACCTACACAAAATCTCACCCATTGCCAAGAGACAACTTGGAGATACCATTGAGAGCGGAACAAAAACATTCCACATTAGTAGAAGGGAATTAACTATAACGTGATATAGATAAGATATTTGTATTATTGATACATAAGGATAGATAGTTAGAACCATAGAAGTTTCTAAAATTGGGGTTAGGATAGTAGACTAGGTAGAATCAATTATAGATTATTCTAAAAAGAATTTAAGACAGTTATTTAAATAGGGCCTACCATAGAATCTTTTAAAAGGAGCTTAAGACGGTTATCTAAGTGAGATCCGCTACTTAGGAACATTCTAGAAAGTCTAAGATGGTAGAACAAAATATAAATAGGACAAGCCAAGCCTTTTGGGATATCTGATGAGGTGTGGCTTCAGATTCATTTTCTTAATACAATTAGATTTTATATCTTCTTATTTTATTTTGTTGTGTCTTAATTTTGATTCCTTAGTTTTGTCTTCTATGTCCCATTTTATTTAGTTCTATTCACTTTTATTATCGTCCTGTTTGTCCTACCTTGTGATGAAGTTTTATATTTTTGTAGATTCAAAGGATCTTGGTCACTTGAGATAGACCAGTCCTATTTCATGAATGCCACCAAGCAAAATTACTCCACCGCTAAGTAAAAATACCTTAACATAAAATATATGACATAAAGCTTTTGATATTATATCTTAGGCAATAAGTATATCATCCACATCAATCCCAAAGCTCTAAAATATTTATACAGGCTTAGTATAGGTTAATTGTTTTAAAAGCAAGAATTATACCATTTTAAGTCTTATTAATGCTATATTTTTTTAATACTATGTTCTAAAATCATGCTTAAAATAATAGTATATTAAAAATATTATTAAATTTTATTTATTACTTACTTAAAAATAAATTCTTCAAATTTTTATTAATTACCATAATATTTATAAATTAATTTATTAATTTATTATAAAATAATATTATTAAAGTTATTTATTTTTTATATTAATATATATTATTTTTATAATCCAAATTATTTGTAATAAAAATCTGTAAAGATTTACAAAATTTAGGTTTTTTGGATGGTATATATTTAAAAAAGATTTTTTTCATTTATATCAATATAATCATGATTTATAAATATTTTATATAATTAAATTAATTATATTGTATGATTTATATATTATAATAATTTTTTTGTGGAATTTATTTTATTTTTCTTATTAATTAATTTATTAAAATAATAAAATACTTAATTACTTTCACTAATTCTATAAAAATAAATCATAAAAATATGAATAAATAGTGGTTTTATGCCAAAAGTTGATATTTATATATTTTAAAAAAAATCATATTTAAATATATTTTCATAATTTTTAAATCCATTAATACTTTATCATTTTATTAATTTCAATTATGAACATTAGTAGATTATATCTTTTTGTCTATAAATTGATAATTTTTAAAATTCTATACATTTTAAACATTTAAATTTTTTTGGTGCATATTAATAATATGTTATGTCTATCAACATACCACAAATCAAGTCTAAAATGTTCTCATTTTACATAGCAGTTATTAAAGTTTTAAATTAAAAAAATATTAAATTAAAAAAATATTAAATTATTTCATAAATTTAATTTTTAAATAAAAAATATAATAAAAATAATTTTAAAAAGTTTAATTTATTATAAAACTAGTTCTAAAAAATAATACTTTGAGCATTTATTAAATATATATATAATATTTTTCTTGTAATATTTTTAAATTTATTTATTTATTTGAGTAATTTTATTTATTTAATATATTTTAATGATTATTAATAATACCTTGATAATCAATTTATTTAAGTAGTACATTAAAAACCTCACAAAATATTAAAAATATTATATAATAAAAGTAAGTTTATCATTGAATAATATATATATATATATATATATATATATACATATTGTATTGGTTATATATTTACCTAATATTAATTACATCTACCTTGCTAATATTATCTAAATAAACAATAATGTCGAATATTAAGCATTCTACTTAATTTGTAATATACTAACTTTGCTTCTATTTGATTTTATAAACTTTGTTATAAGCATCATATTAGAAATTTATCTATTTATTTATATTATTAATAATACTTTGAATTTATTATTGATGCTATTATTCAACTCTTTAAAATTAAAATTAATAAAAAAATCATCTATTTTTATGATACCAATTATATTAAAACTTATATTTCTTAGCAATTTTTAAATTACTACATATACTATCATATAATCAAAAAGGATAAAATTTATATTTTTTTTTATTTATAGGTTTGTTTTGGAAGTTTTGGAAATTTATCAAATGTTGTGGTTGTATTTCTCATCTCTATATTATGCATATATTTTCTATGAATCATTTTTAAATCATTTTTAAAAATTTCAAATTTTTTTGAGAAATCCATATTAAATTTATTTGTAGAATCATATTACATTTTACAATATATTTTTATAACATAATTTATTTACAAAAAATATAATAAAATATTATAATAATAATAATAATAATAATAATAATAATAGAAAGTTAATAAAGACACATCATTCATTGCCATCTTATGATTGATTTGACCTCTATTTCTTATTCTCATCCATTTACATGTCCTTATTCTTGTTCTTATTCTCATTTATATCTCTCATTTCTAATTCTTGTATCTGATTCTTGTTCTCATCCCTTATTCTTAACCCTTCCATTTTCATTTCTAACTTAGAAAAAGTTCCATTTCACACTCCTCTCTCTTGTTCGTTTATAAAACATTCAACATAACATGCCATACAAGGAGTGCCACAACTTTAAAGCATGTATATTGTAGAACCAATACAAATCTCCAACATCTCCAAGCCTTTAAAATTAGACTTTTTCAAATCATTTAAACAACTTGATTTACATATTATCATTGTTCTTATCGCATCCAATTCCACATGACTCTTTCGCTCTACAAAATCCTCTTCTATTAGTTCCTTAAACAACAACTAAACTTGATCAGTGTCAATAGTATTAAGTTTCTAAAATTGTATATTAAGCAATAGTTTCATCTCATTTCATCAATCTTGTGATTCTTTAAATTCATGATTATGGATGGAATTGAAGACTATGTGTAATTTTTCTTCATATCTTACAAGGCTTGTAACTATTTCTACTTGGCCGGAAAAAGACCAAGAAGATTTAAGTTTTTCACTTTTGCAAATACAAGAAGAGAGGAAACAAATATAAAACAAGGCCTCTCCCAAACTGAAAACAAAAACAAGGGGCCAAACACAAAGAATAGAAATAGAACCAATCAGAGTTGTGGCTTTAAGGACTCTTCAATAATAACATATATATATATATATATATATATTTATACTATCTAGAACTAAAATATTTTACATAATTCTATTAATGAGGTATAGAAAAAAAAAAAAAAATGTCTATAACTAAAAACAAAAATAATATGTCCATAAAACCAAAAATATCATGTCCAAAAATACATTCACAATTGCACCATGATTTCACATCAAAAATACTCATTAGTAGTTTCAAAAATTAGAATTCCAAAGACTAGGTGAAATCATGAAAGATTACAAAATTAAAAAATGTATTATAGAAAAAAACCAAAAATGCTTAATAATTACAACAAATTGTAGTTAATACGCAATGACAAGAATAAATTTGACAACTCAAAATCATTGTTACTCGCTTAGGCCTTTTTATTGAATTTTGATTTTTGAAATTAAACAAAAAACGAAACTTCGAAAAAAATATTCTTGAATCTACTTCAACCTAAAATTTAACCACTAATGCCACCTCACTGAATTAAATTTCATATTCGAAGTATATAAACAAAACTTGACAGCACATTTTAGAAATATTTTTCTTGCAAACACTAATACATGGAATCACAAAACCAATGCCCAAACATTTCTGAACACTCAAATCATTCACAAAACTGCATCCTCTCGTACTCGTCTATTGGTACCACCAAAAGAAGGTAAACATGCATCACCTAGAAACACCAAGTGAAACAAAAATATAAAATAAAACACTTCACTAAAACCTGAACAAGTCTCGGAACAAAAGTATTCTCACCCACCCGCATTCCTATTACTTTTATTTGAGTTAATATGAGTGCATCAACGTCGATTGCAATCCCCCTCTCTCCCTCTCACACACACTCTCACTCTGGATCTCTGTGTGAGTCTGAGTGAGTGAGTGTGTGTGAGTGTGTATGTGTGCATTGACTGGCCTAGTTGCGAGATGTCACAAGACACACAAGCACGGCCAAGTGGAGGATAACCTCCCCAAAGTCTCACACAAAGCCATGAATCAAACATGGGGGCGCCGCACATCCCGTGCTGATGGGAACCAGCAAAACCCACAAGAGAAATCTGAAAGAATTCGCTGCTCACACACACACACACATCGGTGGCTCAATTTCGAACTGCTGACCTAAAACCCTCGCGGTAATTCGGCGCCAATGCACAATCGCACGCCCATCTACTACTGCTTCTCGACATCACGCGAAGAGCCCCGGTCACCATCGCTAGCCACTGGTTGTCGCGGGAGGCGCCGCTGCATCTCCTCTTGCTCCGCTGGGGATGGTGTCCAGAACCAGTCCTTGATGCTGCGTGCAGATGCTGAGAACGACGAGAAGATGTGTGGTTTAGGGCCGTAGTCTGTGGAGATGAGAAGCGCGGCGGACAAGGCTGTGGCAGCTATGGTTATGTTGCGAAGCAAACGGTCCTTGCTCCCAGGATCCATGGCTACCTCCCTCAACTTCTAATCTGTTGCTTAAGCACAGAATGACGCTCTAGGAGCTGCGACACCCCATTCGTTACCATGCGCACCCTCCCCCAAAATACAGTCTCCAGACGCTGCTACATCTGACACCCTCGGTCTCGAGAGCCGTCACCTCACATCGGTCCGTGCTGCCGAGCTAAACGACACGTCGAACTCTAACCTCACTCGAACTTTCGCTTTCCTGCGCAAGCGTGTTGATGAAGCCTCGTTCGGGCTTGAAAATCTACGATTCCCTCAGATTCAGGCCGCCGGCGTTTTTCGTCACTTGTGTGACTTGTCCAACCAGATTCTTGAGGAGCGAGCTTCCTACTCAGTCCATGCGTGGGATCCTGCAATTCCAGGCTGGACCGAAAGTTGCCCAGTTTTCGGAAAGAAACCAACCGTTGTTCGTGTTCGATGTTTGACATCGCCACGTGGACCACCGCATTTTGAGATGTTAGGCGCCTGTTTTGAACTACGCTTTCAATCCTTGGGGTTGGAAGTTTTCGAGGATTCTTGCTGAAGCTGCGCACTCGTGTGGGTTGCGTGGGGTGTGTCGAGCTTGTGCATTGAGCAGTTCGCTACCCATCCCGAATCACTAATTCAATTTTTTTTGGTTTCGTCGCGATGCTGACAGTAGCCTGGGAGGTTGTTGATGGGCCATCTGAATGCTGCTGAAGATTGGTTCAATAGTGTCGATTGTCAGGATCCAGCGATAGGGTGTGGCCGGTTTTCGAGTTATGTGCGGTTGAGAGCATAATGGGGCGAGAAGGATTTGATGACAGTGATTATGATTGCGAAGAGGGGTTGAGATGGGAGAATGAATGCAGAGGGGAGGAGGAGGAGGAGGAAGAGGAAGAGGAAGAAGAGGAAGAGGAGGAACTAGTGCATGTGCCTCAAGAGGATGATGAAGCGGAGTCTCAGAAAGCTCAGAATGTCGCTGCTTTGTTGAGGTGAGGGTTAGAATATCTCATTCTTTTCATGGTTAATTAGGGTTGTAGAATTCGTATCGTGATTCCGCGCTTGTTGTTCGGTGGAGGCCCGTTGGGTATTTGGTTAGATAGTACATAATGTTACAGCAGACATGTCAGGGGCTGAATTGTGAAGGAAACGTGTGGCAGGGGTGACGTGCAAGTGAACAGGCAGGCATTTCTTCCGAAAGTCCTCACCGTCTCAGACGCAGCAGTAGTGATCAGGAGACCTTTCAAGTCTCCGTGTCCAAATGCGTCTCCTGCCTCTCACGTAGAGCTCCTTCGTCGTCTGCAAGCTCGGAAGCGCTTCGTTCCTTGGGGTTGTTCGAGGTTACCATTCACTCCCATAACAAATGCCCCATTGCCACTCGCTCCTGTGCAAGAGGAGGAGCCTGTCAAGGTTGAGCTCCCTCCAGGGGTCGAGCCTCTGGTTTTGTGGCAGGCAGATGACATTGATGAGGAGATTGTAGATGGACAACCTGTAAAAGAAAAACCCCAGCCCATTATTGTGGATCCACACCTTGTAAAATTTTTGAGACAACATCAAAGGTACTCATATTCCCTTGAATTGTGGCTGTGAAAATTTGTTAAGTAAATTGTCAATCTCTTGGGTCTGCTTCAGCAACTGCCTCAGGCGATTGTAATTCACGAAGCTATTGGTGTATCGATGTGCAGGGAAGGTGTTCAGTTTATGTTCGAGTGTGTAGCTGGTCTTCGTGGCATGGCAATATCGAAAAATGAAAATACCACTTCTGGTGGTTGTATTCTTGCTGATGACATGGGGTACCCCAATAACTCTCTCCGTGATATTTCTATAGCTAGAAACTGTTTCCGCTTCAAAGCCCTTAACGAGCTTTGTAATTCATCGGTTGTTTGTGGAGGATGTTAATGATCAGGAAGAGGGCTCTGAAATGTTTGTTCTGTCACAGATTGGGAAAAACTCTACAATCCATCACGCTTATGTGGACGTTGTTGAAACAAGGTTTTGATGGTAACCCAATGGCAAAGAGAGTTGTGATCATTACCCCCACAAGTCTTGTCAGCAACTGGGAACAGGAAATTACCAAATGGCTGAGCCACAGCAAAGTGAATGTACTAGCTATGTGTGAGTCCACCCGTGCAGATGTCCTCCAGGGAATTTCGACCTTTCTGTCACCGCAAAATTTTTATCAGGTGATTCAGACTTCGGTCTTGCTTCTTGGTGTTCACTCTGGAATTGCGTCAATATACCTTTTGTGACTGGCCAGAGTTGATTGCGTGTAGTTCAAGTTAGAGAAGAATCGAAAATGAAGTGCAGATAAGTAATTTTTTCTTATTATGTGACCTGTCAAGCTAATCCTACCCAAATTCAGAAGTCTTGTGTGTAAGTTTTACATGTCGTATGAAGACCAATACCAATGAAATCGTAGTGTACACTGTTACAATGTGTGACTGGTTTTGTACTAATTCCGTCAACAAATTGTTTCAGGTTCTCATAATTTCGTACGAAACTTTCCGCATGCATGCATCACGATTTGAGAAAGAAGGCAGTTGTGACCTTCTCATTTGTGACGAAGCTCATAGGCTTAAGAACGACAAAACTCTCACCAACCAGGTTAGTATGTCCTGAAATTGCTAATGGACGGACGATGTATAATTAATTCTCCACGTTATGTATACTTGATGACGTGATGCTTGATCATGTGCTTCATGTTGCGAACTAGTCATTTCGCTGCCATATTGGTGCCTTGCTACACAGCTAACTTAACAATATTGAATCAAGCCTTTACATAGTAGCTTCTGGTGTTCGGCTATGGAACGGAACTACCGTTTTCTGCTTAGCGTTCTCTAATGTTGGAATCGGAAATGGAAAATTCAGGCTCTTGCTTCTCTTCCATGTTTTAGGCGCGTATTGTTATCAGGCACTCCCATGCAGGTAATGCTATTATCATATCTGTCTTTGATTGATTTGAGTTCATTTTTTGGTTTCCGGCCCATCCATATAGAGAAACCCTCCAGATTTTTGGAAAGCACTTTGTGATAATTACCATTTGGTTCCTTCGGGTTCTGAAATCTGAGCCTGCTCATTTCTTGAATTGTAGAATGATTTGGAGGAGTTTTACGCAATGGTCAATTTCACAAATCCTGGAGTTCTTGGTGATGCAAGCACCTTCCGAAAATATTATGAAGTACGTCCCTTGTATCCTCTTGAATATTACTTTCAGGCTGACCCTTATGCTCATTTATCTTTCCGAATTCAATACACCTTACGCACATATTTTGCTTGTCAGAACCCAATTTTGACTGGGCGGGAGCCTGATGCCACGGACGATGCCCGAGCACTTAGTATCGAACGATCGGCAGAGCTTAGTGAGAAAGTTAATCAGGTATCTTTACAATTTCTACCTATGGTCATTGCTTGTTGCGAAATGAAATTTTTACACAGATAAGTTCTTAAAAATGACATGCAGGCATGTGTCTGACTTGACGTTGTTATATAACAGTTCATATTGCGACGGACAAATGCTCTCCTATCAAAACATTTGCCACCTAAGGTATGCCATTTCTTCAGCAGCTTTTTTTGCAGAAGTATAGTATAAATGCTTTCAGTGTAATTTTCCAGTGAATTATTACAGGTTGTGCAGAGACATAGATGTTGTTTTGGTAGGGATCCTTTTTTCCTGTAGTATGGTTTCTAATTTGGTGAGTTGCGCGTCCCTTTGAAAGTTTGGCTTGCAAAACACGCTGCAGAGGTAGAAATCATAACAGAGGCCTGGCCAACTTTCTTACAATTTTGCAAAATGTGTGCAGATTGTAGAAGTTGTTTGTTGTAAAATGACTGAGCTTCAAACAAACCTTTATCGACATTTTATAAGATCGAAGAATGTGAGTACTATTAACCAAATTTTATGGCTATTATGTTTGGAATAGCTTTCAGTAGCACATTCAAATCTGATGTACTTCTTAAACTAATACACTTGGACCAAGTTTAGATACTGGAGTTGCCGAGGGGCTTAGATTCTTGCTTGTTAAGCTGTTTCGAAATCTGCTGCCTTACAGCTAGAACTTGACGCTTTTGCTGAATGAGTACCTACTTTTGTTGAATGCAATAGGTTCGTCAAGCCTTGGAAGACAACACAAAGCGTGCAAAAGTATTAGCATCTATTACAGCACTTAAGAAGTTGTGCAATCATCCAAAGGTACTCGTTCTGTCTGTTTTCTCATGTATCTTCATTGACATATCCAGCACAATGCACTTTTATCCGCACTGCACATAAGCTTCTCAAACTACATTGTAGAATCAAAGGATTGGGCAAGAGAATCATAAACTTTAATAGATTCATATTCTGTTAGTGATAGATATCCATTTCACTAAAGAACTAACCAGAGTTTTTCGTTTTAACTGCACATTGTTAATGAGTATCTTACGCGGTTTTTGATTTTGTACTTATGTGTCTGCAGCTCATCTATGATACGATACGTGCTGGTGGATCCGAGGCTGCTGGATTCGGTGACTGTCTTAAATTGTTTCCCCAACACTTGATCGCCAGCAGGAGTAATTCATGGCCAGACTGGATTGATTTGTCTGGAAAAATGTCAGTTCTAGCACGCTTGCTTTCAGAGCTACGTTGCAAGACTGATGATCGCATCGTTCTCGTTTCCAACTACACTCAGGTTTGTGCGTTACTTTTGAATCAGCATCCTATTTTAGCCAATTACAATATGTACTAACAAGCTTGATATGCAATCAGAAAAGAACAGAGAAAGAACAGTTCATCCACTGTTATTGTGGACTTATACTTATTGTTCTTTACAGACTCTGGATTTATTTGCACAAATCTGCCGGGAGAGGAATTATCCATTTGTAAGGCTTGACGGGACTACCTCCATTGGTAAACGACAAAAGTTGGTATCAAGGTTTAACGACCCAAATCAAGTATGTTAAATTGCCGAATACAAATTGTTTATTCAAAAAAGAAATAGTTGGGAAAATTTTCTCGTCAGGAGTCGATTCCAATCATATTTTCTTGTTTTATTGGTCCGAGTAAGGATTCTGACCTACTCTTTATTTATGTGCAGAATGAGTTTGCTTTCTTATTAAGTAGTAAAGCTGGAGGCTGTGGTTTGAACTTGATTGGAGGTAACCGGTTGGTGCTCTTCGATCCTGATTGGAATCCTGCCACTGATAAACAGGTAAATCAACTAATTTCCTGCTCAGAAATACCGATCCACTTATGGCATCCACTGAAGTATCGCAAGAAGAATTATGTTTTGTGTCTTTTGTACTTGTAACCTGTGTTTCTCATCAAAGTTCTATGTTGTTATTCCATCTCAGGCGGCAGCTCGAGTTTGGAGAGATGGACAAAAGAAAAGAGTATACGTTTATCGGTTTCTAGCCAGTGGCGGCATAGAAGAAAAGGTACGAACGAATCAGAGTAAACAATTTTTTAAACTGGGGTTTAGACATTGTAAGTTTTCTTGCGGAGCGATTGCTGATGAATCTCCTCATGATGTGATTCTTATCATCCCAGGTATTTCAACGCCAGATGTCTAAAGAGGGACTGCAAAAAGTAGTTGACAAAGAACAATCAACTGATGCCAAAGCTCAGGTTTGTGTTACCGATACTACTCTGGAGATACAGCAAAGTGCAACCTCTTTTGTTTTGCTTACTGTTTTGGTATTGAACCTTGTTTCTGATAATTTCTGTAATCAATTCATGCAGATGAACATGTTATCCACAGATGATCTCAGAGACCTGTTCACACTTCGTGAAGACGTCAGGTAATGCTCCTTGACAAGGAAATATTATTTGTGTGGGCTTTAGTTCATCTGGTTCAAGTTATTGTCTGCTTCTTTTTCATGGTTTCTAACTTGGCACTCTAACAGATCTGACACACATGATTCGATTACTTGCGAACGGTGTAACTGTGACGGTGACGTTGACTCTGAGGATACGACTACAACTCCTGATAACTCTGCTGACAATGTTGAGGACATTGGCGAGTTTGCCAAAGTCGCTGGTTGCCTAGGCAAGCTGAAGCCGTGGGAGCGGCAGGTGTGCTTAACGATTCTTAGCTTAGAATAGTGTCATGCATGACTATTTATAAATCATCACGGTTGATTCATTATTTTTACTTGTGTAATATGGAAAGTTATCCTCTAAATGTTATTTCTAATTATTTTAATTATTTTTCAAAAAGTTTTGTAACAGTAGCGATCGAACTGCTTGCTCAGATTGGAACACCCGCAGAAGAAGACCTAGTAAGCTGGGCTCATCATAGTGACTCTTCCACCATTCCTGATGTCATTCTGCGAGCTGCTTCTTCTGGTCAGGTATTTATCGCATCAAACAATGTCTCAAGGTGGCTCTTTTCTGGTAATTCTAGAAAAGTTCTTCACTTTATTGCTTGTCTAAATTAAATTGTGGCTTCCTGTAGGTATCCTTTACCTTCACCTGCCAGGTTGATGGCAAACTCACGCCTATCGACTCCTTCCCTCGATCGTCGGCTCTCTACTCTACACCTTCTCTTCAGGCAAAGTCCTTTGCATCACCTGTTACGAGAGAGCTTCGTGCCCCCAAGACCCCACCAGTCCTGAATGGGTTTAGCAAGCCAGGATCCAATGTGTTCAGTAAGCCAAACTCCAACGGACTCAGTAAGCCAAACTCCAACGGGCTCAACGATAGTGGCTTTGTAACTCCACCTCCCAAGCGGCCTCGTGGACGTCCTCCTTTGTCCAGAAAATCTCCTGCGACTGTGTTGCCTGTAGCTCCAGTTTCTTCAAATAAGCGCCCGAAAACCACTGCTGCTCAAAAAACCAGCAAGCGTACGTCTGCTTCAAAAAGTCATTCATCTGATGAGAGTAGCGCTGATGAGTATGTGTCCGATGACAGCGATGAGGACGACGATGATCAAGGTGATGGCGAGGATGACGACTTCGCCTGATTATTAGTGCACGGAGCTCAATCTGTATTATAGTATGATTGAATATCCCCTGATAATTCAGTCTAGTAATATTTTATGGTGTATCTGATGAGTATGACTCTCATGAGACCTTCAGTTCATTGCCACTGTTACTCTCAACGTGGAAAAATGGACAAGAGCTCATTCAACTCTGTAGAAACGTGCTGCCACCACAGCTCTGAGCCTGAAAAGTGCCATCTATGATCACCCTTAAGAATGTGGGGCTTTTGAGCCTCCTTTCATCTCATCATATTCTATATTCACATTGTACAAGGTTAGGATAACATCATTAACCACTTTGACAAAGATAGACCTAATTTCTCCAGTCTATTTTTACAAGGAAGCTTTTTTGGCCTCAAGCTCTTTTTTTTTCATAACAATATTTTCAACAATGCATTGTGCAATTCTAACTTTGTTCTCAGTCCGCAGTCGCATGACATAAATGCAGTTTAAACTTGAAAATAAGATAAACTGTTACCATGCAATTATAAATTTTTCACATGTAAACATATATCAGAACTTATATATGTATGTATGAGTGTGATGTGCTCAACTCCGAACTTCAGAACTCCTGGTATTGTATAAATGCAGAGGTGCGAAGTGTTTGTGAGCAGCAACCCCTAAGGCAGAAGATCTATTCAGGGGGGCGAAGCACAAAATTGTGATCTCCAGCTCTACTCATGATACTCGGGTGTGATGTATCAAGCCTCGCCAGGAACCTGGACCCATCACCAGATCTAATGATTTCCTTCATCTGCGGCAACTACACCAAAAGAACAGCCAGAATAGTATTGTGCACGCACTGCAAACCAAGCAGTTCACCGCCCAGACAGTTGTCCATCCTGCATACGAATGAAAACGTGTCGTAAGCATGCTCGCGGGTGGAACATGCAATGTTTACGTGAAGCACCCCCCCTCGCTTCTTCTGAAACTTTCACTTGGCTCCCGCTGCCCCTCCCGCGCAGACGCCGTCATAATCCACCGGATTCGCACCCTAAATCTGTGCTGAACCAAGGACGCCGCATCCCGCAATTAACGAAGTTGCCGCGTGCTGCGTCGGAAGGCTAAGCTTCCTGAGATGCAGGGCCCGTGTTGAAATTCAGATCGGGATTCGGCAACGGTGGTGGCAACGCGGGGGGCATCTACATTTCGTGTACATTCGCCGCCTCCGGTCCACTGATGGTAGCGAGTCTCGCTCGTGGTGAGCAACTGGCGCGGAAGAGATGGCCGGCTGTCATCGTGGTCTGCATGGTCTGCGCTGTGCGCAGCTGCTGTTGAGGACCACCACAACTGGATTGTTGACAAGCGTTAGCAGATTTGGGTCTGCTCTGCCGCAACCTGAATTGGAATCGTCTTTGTATTCTCCATTTTCAGGATTCTCTTCCTCGTATTGTTGGAATGGCTCGTTTTCTTCGTTTTCCCGAGTGGAGCAACGGGGCGGAGAGAGCACATCGGGAGACTGCGGGTGGTCGGCATGGCGGCATTTGGTCGAGAGGTCTGTGCATTCTACGAGTTGTAGGGAGGATGATGATAAGGATGATGCGTTTCGAAGGGAGAAAGGGAGTGATGTCGAGGATATAAGTGAATCGAATGGCGCTGGGGATACGGATTCTGCGAGTGCGAAAGTTGCAAAGACGGAAGCGAGGGACCTGGTGCATCATGTACATGTGTCGTTCCTCAAGCAGAAGCTGGAACACGACTTACGAGACACAATCAGTTATCAGGAGCTTCTGGAGTTATGTCGGTCTGTGGGGATGGCCCCTTCGGATGAAGATGCTACGAGGATGGTGGATGTCCTTAACCAGGCGGGTGTTGTGTTGATATTCCGGGACAAGGTTCATTTACATCCTGATAAGGTCAGTGATGGCTAGCTCGTTCTTTTGATACGTAGGATTGCAATGACTTGAGGGATTTGCGGCTTATTCAGAGTCTTGTTTCGGATTCTCGCTCAAGCCAATTCAATTTTATTTGAGCGGTGTGTCTGTGGGATTTAGTGTGGTCGAGGTTTCAGGTATGTACCTGTGGGCGATATTTATGTGGCAGATCGTGGAGCTTGTGGCGAACGTGCTCCCGCTTTCCCTTCTCGGTGAAGACGACCAGCGGCGGATGGAGTTGTCGGCGTTGGCGCAAAAGAAGGAGGAGATCGACAAGAAAGCACATAAACAAATGCGAATGGTATTGTGGTCGGGGCTCTTTGGTCTCACATTTCAAGTCTTGATCTTCTTCCGGCTCACGTTTTGGGATCTTTCGTGGGACGTTATGGAGCCTATCGCCTTCTTCACCACTGCCACTGGTATCATTTGCGGCTACGCGTATTTCATGTTCACGTCCCGCGACCCTAGTTACCAAGACCTCATGCAGAGAATTTTCCAGTCCAGGCAACAAAAGCTGTTCAAGCTGCAAAACTTTGACTACGAGAGGTTTAAAGAGTTACAGATGCAGTGCCAAACTCCAATCACACGAAAGAAGATCCTGCCGAACCCCAGTCGAAAATGAAGTCTGCTAAGGGACAAACTTCTTTCCGGTAAGGTTCAGGAGTCTTCCTTCATTCTTTACTCGAATAGATCACGGATTTGCAGGCATTTGGTTAGGAAAATCCAGCCATTTCAATGGAGTTTGTGAACTCTAACATATGTGATTATAACGAATAGTCTGATTCATTTGGGTGATCGATGGGTGCATAGCAGCTTTAGATTTAAGTTTCAGAATAGTACTGCCATGGATTAGGTTCACGTAGACCACCCTCCGGATGCTGTAATTTACTTACATGATTGATCATGAAATCTTACACATTGTTGAGCCACTGCTCTGTGGCCACGGTGCCGATTAAACTTAAATCCTGGCAGCATTCTTTGGTTGTGTTTGGTGCAAGTTTGTTTCGTTCACTGCTTTGAATTCCGGGTTTAGGGCTTTTCAGGAAGTACCTCCTTTGCTTCATCGATCTTTTAGAAATCTTTTTTTTCCACACCCTACACTTTAGGGCATGCTTCCACTAGCATGGTAAGCTTCTGGATGGAAGCCTCTGATTTCCATTTCAGAAAACTAGACCCTATATTCCTGAGCATTGATTCCACATTTTAAAAACCCAATATGAAACCTCCAAAACTTCTACCGATTCGTGTGGCTACTGAAAATAGAAAATTGATTTACCCAAAACCGGTAGACAGGCATTACATTATGAATATGCTTCATGACAGGCTGGCATCTCGTGAGCAATCTGTCTGCAAGCTTCGTCGCTTCCTTGACTGTTTTTGCAAATGGATCAGTTGCATTACCATATTATGGTTGCTACGATTTCTGGCCTTCCAGTAGACTGACGGCAGGCTTCGTGCCTGAAAACTTGCCTGCCTAGATTTGATTTGTGCTTTAGGTGATGAAGCTAACAACCAAAAAAAGGTCGGTTGGCTGGTTCGATATAAATAGGCTTCATTGTTGTCTTTCTCACACAGGATAATAGAGTGGATTCAGCTCTTGTTTCGTAGTTACCAAGGGAATAGATGTTGGGAATCGCGTTGACACTTTAGTTGTTCAGAATAGTGAACTTTAACCTCATCACGGTTTTCACCATAAAACCAACTACTGAAGAGGTTCAAATCTAAAGATGTTAATATTCCTTTGGAAATTAAATAGTGTGATGAGGATCAAGCTCTAAGTTCTTCTAGGTCAAAATACGACAGTTTCGTATGTATCAACTACCCTGATTATCTTCATAATGTGTGGGATAAAGTCAAGGAAGCGACGAAAGCATGCAGACAGTTCCCCTCACCATTTGCATCTAGCTGAATTTGTTCGTTTTGAGAACAGGAGAATTTAGAAAGAATAAGCAACTTCTTGTGTGGTACAGAAGGAATGGAGAACGCAGACAGCTAATTACAAAGCAGTTAAGTAGGCTTGACGATTCACCAATTGTGATTCCAGCCCTAGGAAATAACGCAACTTATTTCAAAGTACGCATCATAGTCAATAATTGAATTTATTGCTGTAAGCAACTCGTTGTTGGTATGAAGGGAGGAATTATGTTGGACTCATCACTTCCTGAGAGCTTCACCTCAAGGAAGACATGTTTGGCCCACAGGTTGACTTTATTTTTAAAGAATTTTTGATGATTATATCTAACCTCCATATATCGAAGATGAAGAGCAGAGGCTGACGCCCGTGCTGAAGTGCTTGTAATTTCATTCCATCTCATCTCCATGTTCTCCATCAAAGTCTACATTAAACGCAAGATACAAGAATTTACCATTTGGTGTACCACTGTTATTTTTCCTAATTTGTAAGCCGTAAAGCATTCTTCTCTGAAGGGATACAAAGAGACGATCAGGTGTTCAGGCATAGATTGACTGAATTTCCTTTCCGTCAAAGCATTATTTCAGAGAAAACTTGAGCAGGTCACTTCAACCTCATAGTCTTGAAGGAAAATCACGCAACTCGTGATTAATCAATTAAACAAAGCTCCATAGAGCCAATAACTGCTTTGGAATTTCATTAGAAATCTTGAATATCAACAAATATCGAGTGTAACCTAACACCCTTATCCACAAACTCCAAAGCCAACACCTCCATCCTCGCAGAGACCAGGACGAGGACAATCTTATTAAGGAGTTCACCTCAGCTACACCAAATCACTTCCTTTACGATTACATCCTGGAAAGAAATGAAATTCAGGTTGCTTCCAGAATTGACAATGCCCAACGACAGATTTGGATGCCCTAAAGGTCATGAATCACAACAGCGACTTACCAGTAGCCAAAAAAGTACAATAACTACATACAGTACCTGAAAAACAACTGCGTGATTGTTATATCCAACGAGTCGTAGCATGTGCTCGCTGGACATGTCAGGGTTTGATAAGCTACGCTTGAGATATGCTTAAGCTTATGTATAACAGGGAATTATAAAACAATTGGCTTTGGAATAGAAAGAATAAATTCTCCTGTGATCTCAAACTGGCTCAACCCTAGAATAAACCACGTATTTTAAACAGCCTGGTTCATATCAACCGCAACAAGCACTTCTTTGAACGGCAGCACCGCCTCCCGTAGCTCCGGTACCAGCACTAGCAGTGCCTCCGTAGCCAACCTTGATACCATATGACTGCCAAAAAAATATTTTCAGCGTTAGTGGACAACTCCCTTTTCAAGCGTGGCTAGAAACTGGTAGCTTAGAAGGTTTCCATCCCACAGAAAGTTATATCACAGGAAAATGTGACTCCTCATTAGGTTTGTTACTCCACCTCTTCAACAGATCCTTTCCATTCATAATCTCATTATATGCATTTCTCCAGCTCATGTTTCTCAGGACTAGGATTAGAAATTCAAGAATACAAACCCTAAGATACGAGGGTAACTAGAATTCGAGATTTCTCAGTAGTTCTTAAACCCTAAAAAATATATTGTTTGAGAAAAGATGGAAGGATATGAGCACCAAACAACACTCCTAAAACCTCGCAGTATTAGAGTTGTGAAAATTGCGGAACCTCATTAGAGACATCGAAAATTCCCTCCTCAATCTTCTGATAGATCTTGGCTGCGGTATTAATGAATGCCTGTTCAAAATATTTGATCTCCAGTTAAATACCTAGAGGTAGTAACAAACAGTGAATCAAACAAAAGAAGCAAGGTGTGTAATATCAACTCACGTCTTCCACGTTATGAGCGGTCTTTGCAGAGGTCTCCATGAATACCAGACCATTCTCCTTCGCAAATTGTTCACCTTCTTCAGTGCTGACGGCTCTTCTGTGTGCAAGGTCACACTTGTTACCAATGAGCATAATAGTCATGTTCGAATTCGCATGCTGCCTTGCATCCTCTAACCAGCTTGCAAGATGATTGAATGTTTCTCTCCTGCAATTCGACGACACAAAGATTAGTCTATTCAGCAGGCCATCAGATTCAGTAGCTTAATACATCCATTAGAACTATAAACTTCAGTGCAAACGATCCCGTTATCTTCAGCTAGACGTCCACCAGCCAATTACCTGGTGATGTCATAAACAAGTAAAGCCCCTGCAGCTCCTCGATAGTAAGATCTCGTGATAGACCGGAATGACTCCTGGCCAGCCTGAGAAGTAAGAAAATTCAACGTTCATTTAGTCTAAGTATATAACATGCCTAAACAGAAAATATATATTTATAATTTGTGTAGCTGACTAGTTTATCTGCTAAATTACATCGACCATTACAGAAGCATTAGCGTATCATTCTCAAAGCAATTCAGAATCCACACGGTTAAACCCTGATAATAGAATGGAAGTCATGAGTACACGCAAAATAGTCTTCAAATAAATGAAATAAATTAACTTAGGACGATGTCTATTCCCTGTAAAACAATCTATCGACTGATCTATTCATAATTCCATCCTGAATGATTCAGTAGCTGATATTTTTCCTCCAGCCACGGTGATCAGTTTCACGTGTCATTAACCTCCAAGTTTTCCTGTTCACCTTTCTCAGCGATAGACCAGGTCGCGCCCTAAGTGGCTCATAATCACTATGTCAAAGGTACGGTAACGAACATACCGTGTCCCATATTTGAAGCTTGATGGGCTTGTTGTCGATGGTAACCATCCGAGCCCCGAACTCCACGCCAATGGTCAAATCGTGCACAGGCTGAAACCTCTTGTCGGTGAATTGCAACAGAAGGCATGACTTTCCAACACCTGCCACGCCCACCCACCATTAAAGTCACTCCGAATTCACGGCAGTTACCCACTTTTCAAAATATTCTAACAAACCCTAAACCGGCTCCTCACTATCAAAAACATGTAAAAAAACAAATGAGCAAAACAACATCCACAAAGTCAGAGAGACACTACCTGTGTCGCCTATGATGATGTATTTGAACAAGTATGCATATGACATGGTGCCCAACTTCTACTCCCCGACAAATCCACCTCACAAATTACACCAATCACCTTTTGAAAACGCAAATCGCGCAACTGAGGAACAACTTAAAGCCAGACTACCTACAGAGAGGCGCTTCGGATAGGGTAGGAGCAGGAGAAGTAAAGAACCCTAGGAAGCATGCAGGACTCTTTCAGATTGCGCACTGGGGGCAGTAATCCAAACAACAAAAGGAGCCTTGTGGCAACAACGCAACCCAGGACAACAACAGCATCTCATGACAAGCAAAACACTAACGCCACCATTTCCTCGCTACTGTTCTGCTCATGTCCCACTGGGTTCTCTTGTTGCGTTCTCATTGGGCTCTTTCCCATGTGGGCCCAATTTTGAATCCAATTATTCATTAAATTTTCATTCACAGAATCAATCGTAAATAACTTTTCAAATTATTGGCAAATTCACCCTTCTGGAAAGTTAACACCAGTCAAAATTTTGAAAACTTTTATCCGAAAACACCCCTTAACCTTGTTATTGGCTAAAATTGGTGAAGAGGGAAGGATTTTTTCAGCACAAATTTTCACCACGTGCATGTAATCCTACCACTTTAGGGCTTAAATTTTACTGAGGCCATACTGAGCCACGGATATCTTCAGTAGAGTAATGGAATAAAAACACTTCTATTTTGATGTAGTTGATTGAAGGTGCAGCTTTCTGTCTCAAACGAACAACATCTAAGGGGTTAAAGCGAGGAAAGTCCCAAAGGGCCCTCAGACTAAGGAAAATGGAATAATTTTCAAAATCTAGCTTTTATTAAACATTTTGTAAATGTGAGCTTGACTTTAGCCAGCTTTTTGTCTTTCTTCATGACAAACAGCATTCGAATGTCTGCCAACCTCCGACCACATTTCTACCAAATTTTGATCTGAATTTCCCAGTCTAAACCGCAAACCAAAAAAATTTGTGCACCCATTTCAGATGACCAATAAACCATGCAGTACACCAAACTTTCAGCACCTGCAGAGGGTTATGTGATAAAAGTGACAGTGAGAGTAAACAGAGGATATACCTCAGAAATTTAATTCACCTGCAAGGCACCAAGCAATCACAGAAAAGCTGAGCATGGTCCACTAGGAGATACAGAATGTCACTCCAACGTGATCTTGCTGTTGATATAATGCTACATCTAGTTCAACTTCTACAGTATCATAAATGGCGAGGTACAAGATGAAGGCACCCGCTTTAACTCAAAGTGGAAGAGGAATACATAAGACGAAGTATATTCATGTCTACATGGAGTTGCATCTTTCTGGCATTCGTTTTCATGCGTGCCCTTGATTTAGATGCAATCATACGGCCTAAGATCAACTACACGAGGCAGGTGATGCATGCACAAGCAGCACCACCAGGACTGGTAATGAAGGTGGTATAGGTTACCGTATCCTCAGAGCTTGGACTTGGCATCGGCGTATTGTGCCATAAAGTCCTGGTTGAACTTCTTGAAGCTTTCCATAATCCCAGGCATGTCTTTCTCAGATGGCAGAATTGTAGTCCGCACGTGAAAGGTCCTGAGCAACACCACTCAGTGAGACTTTGTAATGTGATCTTTGTCACAAAAATGCAACTTAAAATTATGACAAACCTTCTTGAATACACTAATCGGAAAAATCAATCCTTTAAACGACTACTCCTGCACGGTTTAGTTCGACCAAGAGAACAGAAAAATGGAGCAGGACTTCAGCACACACAATCATGATTCTTTCAGAAAATAGTTTCAAAAAAACAACACAAAGTAATGTATAGCTAAATAGACTTTCAGAAATATGCGCCAATACATGATGCAGTATAAGGTCGACTTCAAGAAAACGTACCCCTCTTTCTGGCCGAACCCTGAACCTGGAACGGTGGAGATTCCGGTAGCCTCAAGAAGCCTCAGGCAGTAGAAAACATCGGGGGCTTTCCCTGCTTTCTTAGCAGCCGCAACAGCTGCCTGTGGCAATTTTACCTGCGGGAAAGAGTACATGGCTCCTACAACCACGTTCATAGTAAAAACAATTACATCAAACAAGACCAAAATCGAATTTAGGTATGCCTATTTGGACCAAAACTATCTCTCTAAAACTGAAGGATTTGTATAGTTATGCAGTACATACTTGCAAGGATGGGTTTTTAGTCACGGGCATTCACACCTGATGCATGACAATAGATCAAACCAGCAGAGCGGTTTTTCAAATCAACTGAACCGATAAAATAAATCTAAGTTTTGTTAGATCATTACCCTCAGTAAAGTTGCAGACAACATTTTCACACGCGTTGAAGCCGTCAGTCATGATATGCGCCCTTTTTCTCAAGGACAATGAGATAGCTTTACTGCAATGAAAATCCAACTCAAATAGTCAAAATCCTCTCTATCTCTCTGACTCACATTTTAACCTCTTCTGTATCTATAACTATCTATCTTGTGTGCGTGCGCGAGCATGCACACGCACAGAAATCTAATAAGAAAAAATTTAACCCACTTATCAAACTACAGGACTGATTTGCACGAATTCGTTTAAGGATGAGGTCGAATTGTCAATGTCACCAACAAAAACAAACAGTGGAATCACATAACTTAGTCTTAACCATATGGGGTTAAATAGATACCTTTCTGCCTCATACTGAGGATACGAAATGTCACCTGGTTTCGGAGGATTGACCATCAAACCCATCTACAACACAGAAAAATCCAATATTCAATTCAGGACCAGTAACTCGACCTTACGACTGTGAACAATGTCTAGGATGAGGGTCAACACATTAAGATATTATCCAGCTTAGAACACGTACCATGATTTGACCAGAGACATTTGGACTCAGAGCTATGGAGGAAACCTTGTAGAGCTCATCTACGGTCTGGGCAAAACACCAGTAACAACAGTTAGATGGATAACCTGATTTTGATATGGATAAACATGGAACACCTATGCTTCATTAAAAGTTCCATACGAGAACAATGAAGAAAGATACGTATCTTCACATAGTGAGATAAAGTGCTCTTGATAAGTAAAAGGAACCTTGGGGTGAAAGTTGGTCATTTCGAAATATCCACCGCGCTGTCCACATTCTCCTAGGAAACCCTTTGATACTGTGTGGAATGAAACCAGCTCCAAGGCTTCACTGGCTGGGGGTCCCATGCCCATCAGAACCTACATCGCCAAAGAAAAAAGACATGTTTAAACAATACTGAAAAATGCGTACCAATATCAAACATTACAGAAGAAGCCTTGATGTATTCGTAAGAGAAGAAGTGGTAATACTGCAACGGGATACCTTTCTCGCGCTGATGAAGGGCCGCTCATCTTGATAAACGTTTTGCTGGTAAACTTCGTCAGCCATCAACACAATTCTTTCTTGTATACAAAACTCGATCAGTTCTCCCAGGTTCTTCTCTGTTAAACACTGACCAGTTGGATTACCTGGGTTTATAAATACTAATCCTCGCACCTGAATGTGACATGGTTCAAAACAAGGGATTAGAATACACCGGCATACAAAGTTCCTTATGCTACCTATAAGTGAAAGTCCTTACAGACAAAACTATGCTTTTGGACCAAAGAGATATCCATACAATTAGTGGTTAATTTCGTGGTTTGTAGAACATGTCCAGCCATGTGTACAGCTAATATCGCACTGGTAGAACCAGCTTCATCACTTGTATTAATGTACTCATTGGACCATAATGACTATAGTTCAATATCCATGTATCTGCCCAAGAACATTACTGCCATTGAATGAATTGTCCTCTTCCGAAAGATTCGACGGCTGAGGACCACAACACACATGAGAAGTTCGTAAACACGAGAAAGGAAGCTTACACAAATTCCCTTCCTCCGAGCTTCAGTAACAGATCTACGCAACTCGTTAATGCTCATTCCCCAATTCTCCTCTTCAGTTAAATAGTAGGGCACCAGTGTGCCTCCTAGGAGCTGAATTGTTGCAGAGTATAGAGGATATTGTGGAATGGGAACTAGGACCTGCACCATGCAATCCGCGTCGATATTAAGATTCATTGATTCAGCAACAGTAATTTCTCTATGCATCACTATTGGATTGGAAAAGCAGGCAGCGACCACAGATGCACACAAAATTACATGAAAATCACTGATTGTGATGAAATTCACCTAGTCGCAATCAGGAGGTTATTACATTCCTCACATTATCGTTGATCTCAACCAAAGCGACTAAGTGTGTCGAGAAAGAAAACAATCTTGTAATAACAGTTAGAGAAATTACTCCATCTTTTTCATCACGGATGAGGGCATTCAAAACTTGTGCAACCCCTTTGCTAGCTCCATCAGTGAGGAAGATATTCTCCGGATCACTGCAGTTCCACCAAACTTTTATTTGTTACTCTTCAAACGATGAAGAATTCAAGAAGCAGTATCGCTCAAAATCTCTGACGCTTTGATTGAACAGCCAAAGTATGTTCACCTAGGATATCCATCACGCTGCAGAATAAAATTTGCAACCTCCTGCCGCACCCCCGGAAGTCCTCTGGAATCACTGTAAGCTCCTGTTCAAGAAATTAACGAAAAAATCAAGGCTTCGTAAATTCAAATGGTTCTGACATTTGTAAATGTAATGCCTTCCACGGTTCATGTTGCAAAGCCGATCAAGTGATTAGCACGACAGTAAGATCCTCCCCGAAGAATACTAACATTACTCCGAGATAGTGATTACGTAAATTCTACGGTAGGGCGAGGTGATGAAGTCCACATTTCGCAAACGGACAAGATTTACCTGGTTCTAGTTCTCGCTTAATAAAACTACACTTTCGGCAGATGTGCAAAGCATCGAACTTCCTTGTTGTAGTTTAATGGTATCAAAACAGCTCTTTCAATTTTAACAGAGATTTGTAGCTTTTCCAAGCTTGAAGAAGAGAGATTGATGACGTACCCACGCCCCCTGAGGTCATAGATAAATAATGCTTGGCTTTGGCAATGGCGTCAGCGGGGAACAGTAGTCCCACGTGGGGATCATCCATCAGAAAGGGCGCCTGACACAGAGCCATGACCTGCGGCAGAGATACTGCGGGTCAGAGAGATTATTTGCTCCCCCAGCACCCCACAAATTCTATAATATTCAGAGTAATCAAGGTGGCGAGCATGCACGATTCCTTCAAATTCCTTCAAGTTTTACACAATTGCTGTGAAGAAACCATCCGACCAAGACTAGATTACAGAGAAGGTACCGAGGAAGGGAAGAGAAGGCAGTCACCTGGCGGGGGAACGTGAGAGGCTTCTGACCAAGAGCATGCGGGTTACCAACATTGGTGAAAATGATCTGTCACCCACCCCCCAGAACGAACAAAAAATGTCCGATTCAAACCAAAGTTCACAAAAAAAAAACAAAAATCAAAAATCAAAAAAATCAAAACATGAAACCCAACTCCGCAAAAATAACCAACCACCCAAAAATCCAGTACCTTCTTGCCCTCTTTCTGCAGCTCAGAGGCGCGAAGGTAAAGCTCTCCCCGCACCGCATACACCGTCTTCTTCACATTCTCATTCAAATTCTCCGGGTCCATCACCTTCCCCGACGCCATGACTCCAAGCCAGAACCCACGCCAAGAGTCTAGCTCCGAGTTGGGGGTGCTCGATAGCAGACGCCGGTAGCAGATTCCTAGAGGAGATCGATCAACATGCAACAACTTCCACCATTCCCCTAAAGCAAATGCCTAAGCGAGAGAAGTCTAAATTGAGGCGGCAGAGCAAGGGAATGGATATTACGGCGAAAAAAGAGGGGGAGAGATACGAAAGAAGAAGGGAGGTGATCGGATGATGAGATGATGAGATGCGGTCCGCGCGGGGACAGCAACAGGGCTCTGCTGCTGCTGCTGCACACAGAAACAGGCAGCCCCACACGATGGAACGAATGGATCAAGGCCCCAGTCTTTGATGAAGCGCAGCCAAGGCTTTTTGGCCCCCGGTGGGGCCCAGCATCCGGCGGACGTCGTCCAACCGTGGATGATGGACGAATATCATCCTCATCCGTCACCATCGTCGCTTCATTCGTCGAGATTCGTACTGGGTCGGTCTCATCCATACATCCGTCTATTCATCCATATTTATTCATCTCTATCTGTTTCAGTTGGCTGGGAAACTGAATTGGGTTCCAGATTTGTGGACCTGGACTCTGCCATGTCAGCTCTGGCTTGCATAGAGGCTTTGTACCTATTGTGTCGTTGCAGTGATTTTTCTCTTTTTTTTTCAGTTCATTTTATTTTATTTTAGTGCTGTATTCACCATCACCGGGATCTCATTGATGTCATAGTAACGGATTTTTATGAACAAATTAACAATATTTTCATTACTTAGTTGTACCACTTAGCTTGATTACATTGTTTGATTGTTGAATAGGTTTCAAAAGAAATTAAACCCTTTTTCATAAATAAATTCATAAATTAAAAAAATTCATAAATAATTTTTATTTTTATTTACTCATATAAAAAATTAAAAAAAAAACATATTCATTAGAAATTTTAAACCAAGATTTTATGTATGTATGTATATATGTATGTATGTATGTATGTAAACATTTCATATTTAAAATTAGAGTGTTTTAATTGATTCTTTGAGATTAAAAATGTAAATTATCACAACATATTACTTTCATTATAATTTTTTTAAAATTTTAATAGATTGTATGCTTATAATTATAGATGTTGGCATTCGTATAATATGTTTTTAAACTTATCATTAATGACATTATGATATAATACCATATAATATGTTTTTTTAACTTATCATATAAACAAGCTTGGTGTTTGGCCTTAGATAGTGATTTGATCAAAATATCAATATTGCTTTAAATTTTCTTCTAAGAAGTGGTTACAAAGATCACTGTGCTTTGATCTATTGTGAAACTTTGGATTTTTGCTAAAAGCCATACATAATTGGTCATCAATGTAGTAAAGACTTGGAATTGAAACTGAGTATTTATGTTTGATGAAAATTGTTTAGAGTAAAATGAGTTCTTTAGTTGTTGTAGTAGCAGCTATGTATTCAGCCTCTATTTAAGAGAGGGCTACTATAGACTGTTTGCAACTCTGCCAAGAAAGAAGACATGAAGAATTGATTTGAAAAATACATCTTGATGTAGATCAACTCAATTGGCATCACTCCATCTACAAAGTTGGTAGAGTGTAATTACAGAAATGGTAGCACCAGAGTATGGAAGTTCTTAGTTTAATGTCCTATAGAGATAACAAAAAAAAAAAAAAAAAAAAAAAACTTTTTTAACTTTTAACTACTATAAGTAATAGGAATTAATATGAGCTTGATAATGTAAAGACTTAAGAATAATATTAAATTGTGGCATTGTTTGAAGTAAGCATTTGGATTGAATTTACATTTTGTGAAATTGTGACTTGATAGAAAGGTATCAAATAGCTCATACCAAGCATAAAGGGCCTACTAAAGGCTATAAATAGATTTAAAAATACAACATATTTGAGATTTGCAACTTGTTTGATTATAACCATGAGGTTGAATAAATATAAATTTCTTCAAATATGTCACCATTTAAAAAAGTTGTTATCTTATCCATTTGATGTATGAGAAAGTCATATAAAGTTGCTAATGCTAAGAAGAGTCTTAGAGAGATCATTTCTATGACCAAAAATAAAATGTCAAAGTAACCTATGTCAACTTCTTATGATAATCTTTTGGCAAAAAAATTGGTTTTGAAGTAGAACAATGTACCAATAGAGTTGTATTTATGTCTAAATAACCATTTAGTCCTTAGTATGGACTTGTTTGGAATAAGGTCTATAAGTTCTCAAATTTGATTATCAATCAAGGATTTGCATTCTTTATCTATGATAGTTTTTTTTTTGGTGAGAAACATTATGGCATAAAAAGGCTTTGTTTATGAAATTGAGATTACAAGCTTGAGTGATGAAGATAGAAGTGATTTATTATTATTATTATTATTATTATTTTTCTTTCTTTCTTTTTACTTTTTTATTACAAAAGTATGTAGATTGTCATGTTCCTTTGATTTTAGCATCAAAAAGTTTTTAGTGGTGGAGTTGTTTGGGAAGGCTAGGATTTTGAATAGGGAGAGCATAGATATGGGGACATGCCTAAGATAGAACCATCACTTAAGAAATTTGGATCTACAAAGAATGGTTTCATACCAAGTTTTGTCTTTTGAATTATTGGTAAAGAAGATTGGGATTAAATAGAATCTACCAATGAGATTTATGGAGCATTAATAGTTCATTGACTTGGCTTGATTCTTTAGAGTAAAATTTCTAGTATGTGAAGGATTATACAAGAATCAATTGAGGTTGAATCAAAGATCATTGATAAGTTTAGATTTGTATCTAACATGAATGTACGATGATAAAGAAGTTTATCTTTAGAAAAAAAAATATACTAGCTTAAGAATACTTTATGAGTTTTGATATTATAGATGTTATAGTCTTTAATATCATTTTATTTTACATAGCCAACAAGAATGCATTTCATAGTTTTGTCATGAAGTTTCTCTCTCTATTCATCTAATATGTAGGAATATGTAGCACATGCAAAAAAAATTAAATTTAGAATATCCAATCAAATGCCATTTCATAATTGATATTAAGTAGAATTATTTTAAATCTTTGTATAAGATAGATTCTATAAATAGAAAATTATAATAACTTCAACTAAAAATAAATGATTAAATTTTTTCATTTTAAGCATATTATGCATTGTATCCATTAAAAAGTTTTTTTTTTTTTTTTTTTTTTTTGATTTAATATACCATTTTAAGATAGAATATAAGAATTTGTAAAGTAGCATTGAATGCCATTAGTTTCACAAAACTGATTAAATTTAGTAGAGATGATTTATTTTTTATTTTTTATTTTTTTATCTAAGTATTGTATTACTAATTTTTTAGATATTTTTTTCACTCAAATTTTATAAGAGTGGAATTATAAAAACGTTTTGGACTTCTTTTGTAAGAAGTATATATGTGTATAATAAGAATAGGCATTGATAAATAATAAAAAATATAAAGCTCCACCAAATTATGGTATAGATATTAGTCCATAGAGGTCCATGCATATTAAGACAAAAGCTTATGTAGCTCATGTTATAAGTTTTGTTGAATATGTTAATTTGGTTTGCTTACCAAAGATACAATCTTTATAAAGGCTAAAATTGGTTTTAATTATAGATAGTCTAATAACTAATTCTATTGAATGCATGAGATTTAAATATCAAGTATAGAAGTATTCAAGTCAATAATACCATCAAAGAGTGTGAATAGCAAACTATGATATTATACTAATAAAATTAAAATTAATAGGTTTAAAATTGATATCCAAAAAATATAAATTATCTTATTTTTAGATTATAATATTAATTGATGGCTTAAAATTGGTTTTCATTATAGCTTGATGATTTTTAAAAATAATAATTATAATTACTAGTAGTTATTTATACAATTACTATTATATAATAGTACCAATAGTTATCTATACAATTGAAAGAAGATATTTGGTTAAACTAATGATATATAGAATATTCTTAATTAATAGGATTTGGCATGTTTTAGATTAAATAAGAATAGAACCAAAACTTATAGCTTAATAAGTGTTATTCTTTCTTAAAAGTATAATTCTAGGATTTTGAAGGTCTTAATAATTATACAATAAAGCCTTAGATGGAATCATATGTTGACTTGCTTTAGAGTCCAAAAACTATAAAAGTAATTTTTTTGGACTTAATGCAATTAGGCATAAAAGATGATTTTATTTATTTATTTATTTATTTATTTATTTTTTCTTTAAGAAGTTATTTGAATGAGTTCAAGAATAAGTTGGATTTCAACCAACATAGTTTCCATTTTTGTTTACAATATTTAGATACCTTCTAGCTTGAAATGCCATAGTAATGGGAAATTATAGTACTTTCAAATGAGATTGACTAAAATAATGGCCATGTTGGAATTGAATTAGTACTTCTAAGCACTATAGATTTTTTAAATCTTCGAAGGTTTGATTTGAAAAGCTTTAATAAACATGTCTTTTCTATAAAAGGTACTTGTTAGTTTAGTTTTAAGTTTGATATAGTAGAATTATTAATATCATTTTGTTATAAGGTATAAGATAATAAATGAGTAAATGTTAAATCATCAAGTCTTCCTTGTGTTGTATTAAAGGCTCTCTAAGTATCAAATAATGATCAAATGAGTAAGTTAAGTTAAGTTATTGGATGTTCATAAAAGTGTAACTGGCAATGGCAATCTTCTTGTAATGTAACTTGCTAGGTTTCTAAGAATTGTAGAATGTCCTCAAATCAAGTCATTTCTATATGACATAATTCTTTGTGAAGATGGACTTGGCTAGCTTTGTTCAATTTTACGTAGAATTGTATTATTCTATCCCATAACTCTTTTGAGGTTTTGACTGGAAAAAGAGTGATAATTTGTTTTTTGCCATAGTAAAATCCAATGCTACAATATGCCTTTGGAATCTTTGAGTTTCCAGCCTATTAAGCCAGCAAAGTCAGATGTGGTTAGTGCTTCCTCAGTACCATCAACTACTGTCCATAATTTGGATCAGATAAGCAACATCTCTATCTTGATGCTCCAAGTAGTGTAGTTAGCTGAAGTGAGAGGAGATGTGCTTGTGAAGTTGACTTGGTAGCCATGATTAAAATTTCATTTTTGTAAAAATATTCGCAGATAAAGTGTTCATAGGTTTAAAGCATTCAATACTCTAGAGTGTCTACTTCCAATGGAGTGATCTGGTCAAGGAGATAGAGCACGGCCATGGGAGTGGTGTAAATTCTATATGGGAATGTCGCAGGTGCAAATCTTATGTCAGCCTGGACAGGTGTAGATGGAACTTTGATCTCAATTGAGAAGAAGTCATTCAGAAAGGGAGAATCTTCTCTTGTGCTAACATAAGTGACAACGTACTCCCTTTGATAACATGTTATGAGGATTGCTACTCTCACACATGTATTGATAGTGAAGATTCCCCAATGTAAATTAAATATTAAAAAAGAATAACAAATCACTTAAACTATTATCCATGGGTGCGATTAATCACCACTTCGCAACTATGAGAGGCGATTTCTTCGGCAGCATCTCGTCCAACAGAAGCTCCAAATCAGGGTACTACTCCCATCAACATCACTCCAGCTCAGTATCGAACTCCATGACCTCCTCGGAAGAGAACCTACTAGTCAAAATCTACAAACATGTCATCAAACAGCAGAATACGAGAGCAGTGAATTGCTTGAGCAGAAACATGAGAGAGATCGCTGGAGCTTACTTCTTAAACATGGTTGGTGGAAGCACCACGCTGCTCTGAAGGAGACTAAACGATGTCTACACTCTACCACAATGTGTCTGCAACTGCAAGTGCTATTAGACTGAGAAGCAGAGTGAGAATCCCATTCACTCTTAGGGCTTCAAAGCTTCATCATAGTGGAGCATCCCACCACAGATTTCATGCTCAAAGAAGACGAACAACAACAACAACTACTACTACTACTATCGCCACCACCAAAACAAAAACAAAGAAAACAGGAACATTTTCTTTGCACATGCAGGAGCAAGTTTTGGGCACAAGAGCAGTGACACTGTGCATTCCAAGTCCACATGAACCTGATCAGAATGCAGCAGGACAATGGACCTCACAAACTGCTGTGAATATGCTGGGAAGATCTGTGAAATAATTGCAGAACACACTTCTTTCTGTGATACTAAAAGCTCATTGTTCCAAAAAATAAAATAAAACTGGAGTGATTGTAAAGTTGTGCATTGGCTGCTGCTTTGGGTCCTCGGTTGTTTATTTTTTTATTTTAACATGTACCCATTTTTAATAAGGTATTTCTATGATAACTAGAAAAAGATAGTTAAGAGGTTGTACCACCTTCGTGAGTTGAATCAACAATTCACAACAACATCAACAATGTGATATGGTTGAAGTAGCAAAAGACCAATAAGAGTGGTAATAATCCGAATAATAATCACAACAAAATCCTCGAACGCGTTCACACCCAAGCTGGGTCGTGAACGCATTCACACTAAGGCCAGCACGGGGATGGAATGGGAGGTGTCGGCCGAAGGAGGGGGGGGGGGGGCACTCGCAGGGCATCGTCGTGGTGTGTGTGTGTGGACTGATTCGCAGAGGCAATTCGTGGTGCGTGAGCCAGTCAGTCAGTCAGCCAGCCAGCCAGCCAGCCAGCCAGTGTGAGGATTAGCTTAACCCGATCGCGAGAGAGCAAGGATCGGCAAGCATGGTGCAACCCAAGCAAGGGCTGTCGCTGCTGAAGCTCGTCCCCAAGGAGCAGATCTCTGGCCCTGCGGAAGAGGCCAATTAGAGGCGCTTCTTCGCGGACATTAGCAAGGTTGATGAGAATCTGGGATTTTAGGGTTTCATTTTTTATTTTCTTTTTCTTTTTTTGTATTTCTGGGTTTCTTGCACTTCTTCCGCTGCAATTGGGCCCTCTTCCACTGCAATATTTTTTGGAATTTCTTGGTGAAAGATCCCTTTTTTCTTCACTTGGGTGTGGTAATTTTCTGCAATAATATTGCCTCTTCGTAGTCTATTCGCGTTTGCGATTTGGCCGTAACAACGTGAATTTGGAATTGTATGGCGCTGATGATTAGGGTGTGTTGAATTTCATCGTATCGTGGTTTGATTTATTTATTGTATCCCCTCCCACTCTTTTGAAATTCTTGCACGCTCGGTTCTGCACTTGTTGCATTTCATGTAGTTGCTGCCTTCTGAGCTTCTAGGAAGAAAATAATGGCATCCTGCGTCTGAGACGACCCAAATCCTACCCTTTGTGCCTGTTTTTAGTAACTTCTTCTTTCGGAGGAAGAGGAGTGTTGCGGGGTATGGATAGCTCAGAACGTAAATGCCAGTGTTATCAATTAGGCTTTGTGGTAGTGTAAGTTTAACGGCATTTGGATGGGTTAGTGGTTTGGGCCTCACCATGACTTGCACCTGTTTTGCATGCCCCAAACGGTCATGACTCCTCGTAGAGTTGTGTCTGTTTTGTTAAAGACGGAATAATACTTTAGAGCATATTCGTTACTACTTCCGTCAGGTTTCCAATACACCCCCTTGGCGAATATGTGAGGACGGTACGGTTCCTCCTTCAAAAACACCAAAGAGCGGCAGATGTGCGGGGAATTTTGGACCGAACAGAGGTTTTGTAAGCAGATTTGCGCGCATGTCTTGTGTAGGGCAGTAAAGAATTTGGAGCTTTTGAAGAGAATGAGTTTGCGCTAAAAATGATACTACACCGTGATATGCTTAGTGCGGTTATGGAATTTTGTCGTGTCAACCAAGTCGAGCGCGGACTAGTTATCATAGAAGATTTGAGTGGGTGCCGTGAGGTCATGTCGCAGAGTGTGAAGAAATTGCCGCAGCCAAACCACTTCGGAGGCAATCGTGGCCATAGCTATGTACTCTGCTTCCGTACTGGATAGTATTGTGGTTTTCTGTCGAATCAAACTCTAGCTTATTGTTCCATAAGCAAAAACAAAACAATAACCGGATGTGGAGTGGCGTACTGGACAGTGTTGTGGTTTTCTGTCGAATCAAACTCCAGCTTATTGTTCCATAAGCAAAAACAAAACAATAACCGGATGTGGAGTGGCGTACTGGACAGTGTTGTGGTTTTCTGTCGAATCAAACTCCAGCTTATTGTTCCATAAGCAAAAACAAATCAATAACCGGATGTGGAGCGGCGCTGATCGAGTTTGCCAACTCAATCCGCATCATTATAGCCAAACAAGGGACGAAGGTTGGATTTGATGTCGCGGTGGTATTTGATATAGTACCCTAGCGTACCGCGGAGGTACCGAGAGGCATGCTTACATGCCTGAATGTAAGCAGCCCTAGGATTATGCACATACTGCGCGAGAAGGCTTTAGGTGAATGTGAGGTCAGGCCGTGTGTACACACAAGCCCAATTCCAAGAACCCACCCCATTGGCATACGAAAAAGTGGAGCAGGAAGCACAAGCTTTGGTTGTCAATGGACAGTCCCGCGTGGAAAGCTTGGTTTCTAGCGCAATGGAGGTGGACATCGGTCGCGAGTCGTGAAATCCAAACTCATGTAACTTCTGCTCCACATACAAGGTTTGGTTGATTCTGATCTAGCCTTGGTTGATATCTCGAGTAATCTATAAGCTTAGCAAGTAGTGAGCAGGGCCGAGGTCGAAAAGGAGAAAGCGGTCATGGAGTTTTCTTTTGACGGAATCCAGCAGCGAGACTCTATTACTTGCAATGTAAGTGTCATCCATGTAAAGCGTAATAATAGCGAAAGAGGCTCCTTCTCGGAGGTAGTACATGTTCGTATAAGCCATGGAATTTTGAAGGCGAGGATGGCAAGAAAACTGTTGATTACTTTACACTATTTTCGGGGCGATTGCTTCAGCCCATATATTGTTTTATGGAGGCGGTAGACCATGCTGAGCTTCGGAGATGAGATGCCTTCGGGTGAATTCATGTATATTTTTTTGTTGAGATGGCCATTAAGAAACGCCGTTTTTACATTTATTTGGTGAATATGCAGATTCTATTGAGCAGCAAGTGCAAGAATCATTTGGACTGATTGGATACGAACCACCGGCAAAAATGTTTTGTTGTAGTCCAAACTGGGGACTTGGCTGAATCCGCAGGCGACCAATCGAGCTTTGAATCAGCCAATGGTGCCATTCGGTTTCAATTTTAATTTGAATAACCATCGACAAGTGATGGGTTGGCGGCAGAAAGGGAGCTTAGTGAAGCTCCATGTTCCATTTGCAACAGGGAAGTTGAGCTCCTCCTCAATTGCCACTACTTTACTTCCGAAGAGCAAAGGGCCTGTTGGTATGTTAATGGCTTGAGTGGAATGGAGAGCAACTCAGTAAACAAAGCCTGTTTAGATTTTGAGGTGGTTTACCTCAAGGTAGAAGGGAGGAGGAATCATTGTTTTCCTCCGGGGCTTGAGCTGGAAGGATCCCTTTATTGCTACGAGCCTAAGTGTGGTGCTGGTTTATTGAGGATGTTGCAAAAAGGAAGGAATCTTCGATGAATTTCTGATGTTGTGATTGGACACAACATAGTTAACTGGGTGAGTGTGCTGGGAATGGTGGTTGAGATATTATATAATTTTAAGAAAAGAGTAAAGGTCAAGAATCCTTGAGGTCTTGTAAGAAGGTTGTTTTGGATGCATATTAAGCACCATTGTGGTGGTTGTGGGATTCATTAGTAGGATCAAAGTTGAGGTAATGGATGGAAGTGAGATTAATAACAAAGTAGAAGGTGGTCTTGAATTGGTTGACAAGGCATTGAATTTTGAAAGAGTAGTTTGGGTGATAGTGAAAGTAGCACCTCAATATGGCTTAGATATATTAAAGAATCAAGATTAGGCAAAGACACAAGTAAATATATATTATAGTTGACAGCATGCAATGGTGGTGATAAAAGTTTAAATCTTAAAAAACCAAAAGATCCATATATTTTTGCCTGACATAAAAAGATTAGATAATCTTTCAAAGATGATATAATATTAGGCTAGAATGTGTATTGCCAAAGATTAAAAATAAATAAATAAATAAATAAAATAAAGTTTCTTAAAATAAGACTAAAAATAAGAAAAGTGTTGATAAAAGTGAAGAAGGTTTCATTCTTGCCTCTATATACTATTTAATTTGGAAATACATAGCAACGTTCTATAGGATTTTCAATATATGTCCAACTTAGAAGACATGTGTCTAACTTGTTAAAGGTGGAAAGATCATCTTGATATTTGATCATTATTGAGGCTTTTGTATCTCCTTCAAATAAAACATTTGGAACATTAAGAAGAGTGGTTTCTACTTCCAATAATATTACCAAATATTAAGAATTTTCCAAAGTTGTGATACCAAATACATGATATTTTACCATTTATTAAAAAATGATTATATTCTTAAAGGTCTTCATTTCTATTATGTTGTCTCGAAGGTTGTGACAATTGTAATGTCTCATCTATTAACTTAGTAAATGATAGCTCTTAAGTTGAATTTACTAATTCAAGACAAATCTTTGATAGATGTTGTCAATTAAAAGTATCAACCTTCTTAGCTACATTTGCATGATTTTTGATTGGCTTCCATGTATATTCACTAATATAATATCCATATCAATGAAAAAAATAATCTAACTTATTTTGGCGCAGCTTTCAGTCTAAAATTTCTTTGACCTTATATTTTGGATTACTATCAATTTCTATAGAAGGAGATGGCTTTTGTCTTCTTCTTAATATATTTATTATCTTGTATGGCTCAAAAAGAGACACATAGAAAACAAAATACAAGATGGATCTTTATAGACTTTGAAAGATTACCTAAACCTCCGAGAGTTTTGCAATGATAATCACCTGATAATCTCTGACAGAGAGAGGGCACCGTCTCGTGGTAGGATTGAACTTTATCATTCACAACAGCATCGTTAACACACATACTCACCAACCTTAGTCGCAAACCATTGTGCAGATCGTAGGATCAACATGGAGTCCCCCTCGACTTCTAGACGTCCCACCGAAGCTCGTCCTCGGAACAGAGAAGCACAAGAACCGGAGGAGTTCGCCAACCGTTCCAAGGCATGTCAACGATGTGGAAGCACGGATGTGAAATTCAAGTACCTGAACAACAAGAAACAACCGCGGTACGAATGCCGCACTTGCAGAAACGGGGTCAGAGGTTCCAGTTTGTTCAACCCCTTCCCCATGAGACCGCTCCACCGGAAAGGATACCTCAAGATCCCAGCCTTGCAAACCATGGAGTTTATGGTCCAGGTAAAGGTATGCCCCCGATGCAAATCGTCTACCCATGTGAGGTTTCTGGACCACAACAACAAAAGCCCGAAGCATCCGCAGTATCGATTCCGAGAATGGAAACTCGACTTTTCGCCATTCTCGCCGTTCAAGTTGAGAGTGACGGGTTCCCAAAAAGGCCACGAGTGAATCAGTGCATGCGATGGACAGTTCTCCGGAGCTTATTGATGCGCCAGACCAAGAATCGCAACGCTTGGCACTGTATGAGATCAGCGAGAATCTGATCTAAGGGGTTGAGTTGCTGGAAACATGGCCTGTAATGAAAACATGGCCTCCGGATTGTCCATGGCGAGTGCCGGATGACTTAAGTTCCATTGCTCCTCTTCCTCCGGACGAAGAGAATGGCGGTGCTTCAGTGTCGGCGCGGGAGACTGCGACCAGCGGTTTTGACTCACACTGGGTTTAGTTTAGAAACTTGTGTTTCTGAATGTAAATTCTGGGTACTGGTTTGTCTACTATTAGTCTCTCTTTCGCTCTCTCTCTCCCTTTCTCTCTTACTATGTAGAATTGCAATTAGTCTCTCTTTCTCATGAATTACACATGAATACATTCTTGTCATGTGGAACTATTGTGTTTTCTTCCTCATTGCTTAGGTTTTATGATGTTATGTTGACCCATTGAACAACTGTCTAGAGTGCTGAGGACGCAGACCAAATGCTTGTGTCAAGATTAAAAGAAAGGATTCTTAATTTAGAATATCGCTACTAGGAATACCAATTTTAGTTACTCTGACAATATTCAACTTGACTGGATATTAGCTTGCACTCATGTCACCTACCAGCTGACTCCCAGCCCTGAATTGGAAATCGTGTACTGGTTTTTATATGCTTCGAATTTTTTGATCTTTTCATACATTGCTGAATGGCCCATGTGTTTAGGATATCATCTCCTTTGGGACTAAGTATCTGAAGCGTCTGTTGAACACAAAGATTAGAACTCCTATCAGACCATTATTAGACCATTATGCTGTTATGTGCTGGAATGGGTTGAGAGAAAAGAAAGAGCTATATGTCCATCTATGTGACTAGCGTCAACCGATCCTCTGAAAATGCTGTTATTTCTTTTGGTTGGAGAATCTTGCTTCATTAGCTAATGGGCTTTCTTAACGAAGCAGGCATGCCTAATTTACTCTCAAATTGCTTCTATCAAAGTGATTGAGTATATTGACATTACCATCTTGATTTTCTTTTTCCTTCTGTTTCATTATAAACTTTTCTCGTATGTTTCTTTTCTCGTACGTTCTTGAATTTTTGCTTTGAAAAGAACATACGAGAAATCTCATATACTTCAATCCGTTTCAAAATATGATTTAGTTAATGGATCAAATGACAGTAACTGCCAAAAATTCACTATAATACAACACAGTATTTTCAAATCTTTACATTCACACTAATATAATATGGCTCTTTTATAACCCAAGTTCTTACAATTCCAGCTCAAAACGTAACTTCATACACATTCTGTTGTGCAACAACTATGCAGACATAAAACAATTCAGCAGACAAAATACAACAATGATACTAACAGTGAAAGAAGCTAGAGTTTGAATTCCAATTCAAATCATGTTAATTAAAACAAAACATTTGCAACGAATCCACTACTTCATTACATTAAAACCTCCAATTCTCTGAAAGCAAATATTGCCACAACGATTCAAACCAAGCTGCAATCATGCAAAAACATTGTTATCTTGCACTTGTAAGTTTAAAAAAAAGGAAAAGAAAAAAAAAAGAAGCAATGACTAAATAAGCCACTGATCTTGCTCTGAGAGAAGGAGAAAAAACCCATAATACAATAATACGCATTAGTACACATCCAACGACAAAGAATGTCGAGGTTTAAAAGCTTTCAAACAAGCTCTGAAAACCCTAGAACTCGGTCTAGTCTGTGCAGTTGGAACCTTAGATCGACGGGTCCCACTTAGTTGAAGGTCGCCGCATCTTCGGTTGTATTTCAGTGTTGTGTACCATGAATCTGCTGTCCTAGAATCAGACCACAAGAAGTTCAAGTGTTGTTAATTTGATACAGTGAATTCCCCGCATCGAGAATATACAGTTGGATGTCTGGCGACGTGTTGCAGGTATTCCACATCAGTTTCAACGTTTGCTATTTACCTACATGGGGAGGATCTAGACGGAGCCTCACTAGCAAAACCCCATTCACTTCTGGATGTAAGAAAGAGGTCCCTGGGAATCGATCCAATTGTTGACATGCTCCAGAAACGTCCGATTCTTAGGCCGGTCCTTCCTGTACACGTAGTTCTCCGTTTCTCTCTTCGTATAGGCCTTGATGTGAGGCGCGCTAGACAATCCGCGCTGCAATGTAGGGTCGGCGAAGTAAGCCTCGGCAAATACCTCAGTTGGTGCATGGTCGACTTGCAGAGACTGCAGGCCCGTCAAAACCAGGGGTCGGCGCACGTAGTGCCCTTTGGTTGTACCCTCCAGCTCGTCTAGTAATTCCAAAGCAGATTGATCAACCTAAAAGAATTGAACCCACACCGTTGATGTGTGAGAACGTGTGGGGACACCACAGCCAGTAGCGAAATGCGAGACATCGGAAACCGGAAACTCGTCGCGAGAGTGAGAGAGAGAGAGAGAGAGAGAGACCAGTGGCGCTTACCGCGTAGAGCTCGCCCTTCACTTGAAGACCAGAATTTGGCATGTGGAGAAGGAACGGCACTTGAAATGGCCCGCAAACAAGCGGATACCTGGTCTTCGTCCTCGCTACGCCGATGAAATGAGCATGACCCTCCTCGACCACTTCCTTAATCAACCAGTGGTTCGAAAACCCCTGCTTCAGGGTCCCGTAAACAAACGCCAGGGTACAAGGCGGGTTGGCCAGGCGCATCGGCATCATCACACCACCAGTGCGACCACCAATTTCAACACTTGAGGATGATGGCATCCTTGACGACGGCGTGGACATGGAAGGCGCGGTCATGTCGGGCACCGCGCTAGACATCACTCGCACAGCCATAACCCACCACACAAACAGACCCAAAATCCACTAACCAGCTCACAAACTACACTGAAATCCTGAAAGAGGTCCTACAACAGGGAGAACCACAACAACAACGAATCGAGATCGGTAGTGAGCAAAGCAAGCACAGCTAAGCGCCGGAGACGAAGGAGTGAGTGGGAAGAATCCGAGTGAGAGGGGACACGCGGGGAGGAGTAACGCGAGACGGCGCCGATGTGAAGAGGTCCGATCGATGGCAGAGCCTGGGATTGTTGCTGTTGCGCGCTCCTCCGAGGCCGTGATCCACACGCGGTGTCGCTGCGTCGCGAGCTGCGGAGGCCACTTTTGATATGCGTGGCCATCGTTTTCGATGCGATGAGGGAGTGGACTTTTCGGTGTCGGTGTGGGATGTGACGCTGTTTCACTCCACAAACGGTAATTCAGATATATTCATTTCCTCCTTTTTTTAATATTTTTTCCTTTCCTTCTCTATGTGTATTATATCCATATTGTTTACATCCTTGTGGTTATGAATAGCTCTTACGGGTTTTTAGCTAGTTTTTTTTATTTTGTTTTAGAATGGTTTCAGTTTGTTTTCCATTATCAAAACTCTTTGTTTTTTTTTTAGGAACCCTAGTTAGTGCTTGAGTTGGAAAAAGTACAAAATACGCTTTTGTTTTTGAATGATTGGTGGTCTCATTTCTGTTTTAAGTTTGTCTCTTTTGTGTTTATCCTTAATTTAGAACCTGACTTTCTTTATGGAAAATTTTACTTGTTTATTGTTTACACATACATGAATTATTTTTGAATTTTGCAACACAAAATTGATGTTATGTTCAAAGTTATCTTTTTTTTAAAGTCACATATAAATTTACTGTCGCAAATTTGAAATTAATATAAAAGACACAATAATGAAGATAAATATGGCAATGATTTGTTGTATAACAATTACTACGAACAAAGTGTTTTTTTTTTTTTTTTTTTTTTTTTTTTTAATGGTGTAAGTTGGGATTGATGTTGCAATATCTTAAATATATATATATATATATATATATATATATATATATTTAGCATATTAGATTGAACATCCATCCAGTATAATTATTTTTTGTCCATTTTTTTGTCCATTTCATTGCTTATTCTCATTTGTAATGGATCACAACTGATCTATTATTATTATTATTATTATTATCAATAATTTAAATTGTGTTTGATCAAAGATAATTAAATTGAAATTTTAGCAGTAAAATGCTTAACACTAGTTTTATCATGAAATATAATCATTTGGAGGGTTCAAACATGGCATTTTTGCAAAACTAAATAATTAGGATTTAGTACCTGATATTTCTAGGATCACTCAAAATATCAAAAGATTGAAATAAAATAAATATACATATTTGTTCATATCTACACTGCTAATAACATTTAATTTTTTGGTTTAATGTGGACAAATTCTGGACCCAATTCATTTGGGTTATTTTCCCAAAGTAAAAATAAATAAATAATAAATAATAAATAAAAGTAGGGAAATTAATCCTTTCATACGAGATTTCAAACCGTGGGTCAGGGAGAAGCAATAAGAACTGTTCATATTGAAAATAAGACTCATGGGGCAAGGCCCTTGAGAAGTCCCTAGAGAAGAAATGAGAGCTGCCCTCTCGATTTCAAGTAGACTACTAAATCCAAGCCTAAATATATTTGCTTCATTCTTCATGTTTCCCAGACTTGGGCAGATCCCGCAACAAATTTTGGATCAATGAGAAAATCGGTGAATGAGCGCCCATCCAAGTGTCAGAAATTAGTGGGTACGACATACATTCAGTTGTTGCTCGTGCTGAAAATCCTAAATCCTATACTTTTTGGAGCACATTAGGGTAGCAGAACAGAAACTGCTGCAACAGTTAATAGAATGCCCCAGGATTAATTGACTAATTGAGTTTCTACCGAAGCGCATAAACCATGCATCTGAAGCTCTTTTCCACCACACCCATACATGGCTGTGCTAATTACAATAGGTTGCCAGCTTTGGCATCCTCTAAAATCTAAAAACACTTATTTAGGGTACAGCACAGGCCACTTCCTACACCAGTTCTTTTCTCTTCATTTAATGCGCCTCATCAGAAGGTTATGCACGTTCTAAACGTCCGAACTTCTGGATATGAGAGGGCTTGTTTACATGGGCGAATGCAATGCACCTCCTTGCACTAGCTTGAAGCAATGACCACATGTGCAGCCAGAGATGACAGATAAATCAGACATCGTCTTGAAATCCTGTCAACTATGTATGTTTTCGTGCCATTCTACAAAGTCTCAAGATAATGATATCCCAGCAAAGTTACAACTCTTGTATGAGAAAACCTAAATTCACCTTCAGAAGCGTGAGCATTAATCCATTTCTACTCTACATACAACAGATCTTTGTAAACACGACTTTGAATCTACTGTGGCATACCGCCTAATGCACCGCCTGGCACAGGTCTTGATAATCCTGGCATGCCTGGCATAGGCCCACGTAACCCTTGACCAGGGGCATCATCAGATTGTATCAAAGGCCTCCCAACGACTTGAGGGGGAGGGTTTACCTCTTGAGGTCCTACATGACGTCCCTGAAGCAAATGAGGTGGTGTGTTTCCTCCGATCATCATTTGTCTTCCGAAATGGTTTTGTTGCATGGCGATAGCAGCTCCCGCATGCACTGAATTTGCAAGTCCTTGATATAATTGCGACTGCATGAAAGCAGCTGCATTGTTGGGCTGCATTTGTTGATTGGAAGATATACCAGGAGGATGGGCCATACCTTGAAAACCAGGCCCATAAACCATCTGCCCTTGAAAGGAGACAGGCCCTTGGACCATGGCAGCAGGATGTTGATGTTGATGTTGAAATTGATGAGGCCCAGCAGGCTGATGATATTGCCCGCCAACCTGGTGATGTGACCCAACAGGTTGGTGATGTTGCCCAGCAGGCTGTTGTTGCCTAGCGGGAGACGTGGGGGGATTAGAATTAGAACTTGTACCCATATGGGAGGCTGCTATTCGGGCCTGATTCGCAAAAAAATTTAATCGGTCACGTTCAACTGACTCGCATTGCTTTGTTAATTCGCTATCTAAGTCGTTAAGAAGTTTCAACTTGAGCTCCAGCTTTTTCAACTGTTGGAAAACAAGCACACAAATAGACAGAAGATTAGATCAAAGAAAAAGTTTCCCAGTGACAGAGGGCTGTTGAGAAATAGAGAATACCAGAGCACAAGATAATTCATGAACTGTTTTAACTATTAGTAATAATTTTTTGAACTAACTAGCCGATGGAATGTGCCATGCAGCTATACAACCAGAGTCGTTTAAAGGAACCACGAAAAGACGTTTAACAGTAGTTTTAATTACTTTGTCAACTTGGACAAATCTTGCACTACAGGTTGCAATGTTCAAGATTTGTCGAAAGTTGGCAAAATAGATCAAAAGGTCAAATCGGTCGAAAGTGCGAGGAAAGGAGACTTTTTCCTTTTTATCGATGCACTTGCACAAAAGAAGTTTCGCAGAATACCTGGTGTTCAATGACCACTGCCATCAATCGGTGCATCTCACGCTCTTCCTGGTCGGCCAGGAGCTTAGCTTTGACAGCTGCAGCCGCCATGGCACTCGCTGCGGCCCGCTTCACACATCCTGCAACCTTACTCTCCTCCATGATGTCCAATTTTTTCTCTGTCATACCGCCTTTATGAACAAGCTCCTTACCTGCAGGAGCCGTTCAGTATCTCTTTTTCAGGTGGACAAACACAACTTCCAAATTAAAACAAGACAATGCAGACTTAGTTCACCTAATTTACAATATGACAATCATATACTTCGCCATCGTTACACCAGGAACAAAAGACATTTTGACACACGAAGTAAAAAAAGCAACACCACATTGATTTACGCAAACCGAAAAGATGTCGTTGATTTTGGAACCTATATTTGGTTCTAATTGCGTGAGGGCATCATCATTGTTAAGGGCAGTGGCAGTGGTATTGTTCGGAGGCATTTTGACCCCACTAGATGAGCTTGGGCCTGCATCGCCTGCTGACGTAGTCTCATCTCCACTTTGCATACTCTCATCTGCCTGAACTGATCTACATGATCCAAACATTTCAATGATAAGAGATTAACTTCTGTCATCTGATTTCGAAGAACATAAAACGGATTGAGGCATAGTAAAAATTATTATCAAGTTAAATGCGACATTGCACTTGAGATACATTCCAAATATATCGCTAACCATAACGTCATAGTCTAGCTACGTTAGTACGTAGCTAATAAGCACTTTAAATAGGCAACTGTCGTCGAGCACCAATACGCATGAGCAGTAAAAATGCTTGAAAAAAAGAGACCAACATCTCGTACATTTCAGACCTTATCCCAAAAATCTAATTGCTAACTAAATTTAAATTAAGTTAAAATCAAATATCTCCATAGACATCATCGAGTGATCATGCAAATACAACTTACTACGAGATATTCAGTACTAGATACGAAATATGACCATGAGAAGCAAAGGACACACCTGTCGGGATTCTCCGATTCACTTGGTTTAACGATGTCAACTGGGTCTTCTAATATCATAGCAGTCCCTGCTGCAAGATAAACCCCAGGATCTTTCATTGTTAGCGCTGCTAATGCAGCTTTTGCAGCCTCTCCAGCCAGTTTTGATCCAGTCATAGTTCCAAGGAACGCCATCTGCACACAACAAATCGAGTTAAGAAAATTGAAGCAACTACTCTCACGATCTTTCCTATGCAGGAAAAGGAGACCAGCTCAGAATCGATCCTCCAGAGTGGGATTATATAGTAGGGTTTCAGAGACTCTCAGCGATGTAAAACCTGGTCTCAGCCATGCTGCTGGCTGGCACTTAAACGTAAACTCTACAAGCACCCTAAAACTGCCAGACAGAAGACGAAATCTAGAGAGGGAGAATATAGCTAGAGTAGATTTTGTAGAATAAAACAGCATTGGGATGACAAGGAAAGAAAAAGAAAAAGAAGACAACCCATCATAGAATATCGAACAGATACTCCAAATACATGATTAGACAATTACTTTATGCTCTATAAATGTACCCAGAAGAACATTCATTGCAGCGGTGAACCTTTGGTTATCAAGCTACCTGGGCCATGACTGGATTGCCAGCTTCAGCAAATGCGGCAAGGTTTGTTGGCATCACTAAATCTTCATCCAAACATTCAACTGCAACATCCGTGCTTTCCTTATTAGGAGTACCATCTTCAGGTTCTTCCTCTGCTGTTCCCTCTTCTTTTGATTCAGGCTGGGGTGCGCTATCCGTTTGGGTAACGGAAGACGTAACAGGGACATTATTAGTTAATACAAAACCATCTGAGTCTTCCGAAAAGGGGTCCTCAACAGGAAGCCGAATAAAATGCAAGATACATTGTGACTTTGACTTAGTTGCAACATGCTCAGCTATTTCGTTCCAGTTATCTCCATATAGTTCTAAAGCCTCCAGCAGCAGGAGGGTCTCTTGATCCGACCACCCTCCCCCATTCGCATTGTATGCTTCAGTAACATCCATTTTCATAAAATCGGTCGGCACCATGTCGGGCCCAAATTGCCCTTCATTATAGCACTCAGGACATAAATCAAAATCGGCCTGCCAAAACCCAGTAGTACAAGAATAGGCACTCTTAGTAGAACGAAGTCAGCGAGGGCATGCGTAAAAGACCCAAAACAAATAAAACTAAACCAATTTAGGTTTTCTAAATCGGGATGAACACTACAGAATCCCTGCAAAGAACTTATGCCAGATGGATAGAGGGTTTTACCTGCTTCTGACAGTGATAACGTTGCTTACTGCAATCCGCACTACAAAAATTGCAATGATACTCCACTTCAGCTCCTCCCTCTAATGCAAGCATGTCTGCAATGACTGACTCTGTTGTCTTAACTGGTTTTGATTTTACTAAATTCTGTTCAATAACAGGAGTACAAGATGTATCACAATGATACAAACTTGAACCTTTCCGTGGCAAAGCCCGCAGCATGAGAGCTGCATCAGACTTCAGAATAGGACCAGGGTGCTTCCAGGGAGGCAGAAACTCAGCAGGAGCTTGATAGTTAATAAGTCCCCAATGGTCCAGAAATTCCATAACTCGATGTACAGATTTTTCATCCACATCATCGAGATGCTCTTGCACATCAGCAACGGTTATGACCTTCCCAAAATGCTCACGATATTTCTTCATTATTGTATTCCTGTATTTCATGTACATCTCTGGTGTTTTTCCAGGGACTTTACCATTAAAAAACTCCGGCAAACCTCTCTTCTCCAGCGTGTGTATGTCAGTCCATGAAAACCAGCCTGAAAGAACACAGAAGCAGCTTTTCTCACTCAGATGCTTACAAAACTGTTCACCATTCATGAAGTCATACTTAACAGGACACAAGGACATAGTTATCACCAACTCAAGAATTCTGAGGGTTCAGAGGGATCTATCATGCATGTTCTCAACCTGTAGTCTCGAGATTTCTGGATCTACAAAGCAGCCATAAGGACTCGAAAAGCCATTACAAAACAATACGTTGGTAATGTAGGTGCAACGCCTTTACAGTACACACTAGCTTAGTAGGGACTGAAACATGACGAAACAAAAAGAGCTCGGTGAAGACTCCCCCACTCACCAGCATGGGTAGGAATCGTATGATACTTAGGTTCTTCATTCACTGAAGCCGTGGGATTCGATGCAGCCAAAGATGATGACACCTGCAACCCACTGACCTCCGGTTGCGACTGATCACGGACCTGCACGGCATCCGTGTCTGTGTCCTGCGCTGCACTTGACACACCATGTTGGTGGTCTGTTGCTGCAGAGCTCAATGGGAACTCGCCCTGTGCACTTGGTATAGCCTTATTTCCCTCATCACTTACTCTAACTGCCCCTAATTCCGCCGGTTCTGTCCCTACTTCAGATCCAACTACTACATCAGGTTTCCCAACGTCGTGCTTGGCAACGTTGAGATCAGTAAAATTTGATGCAATTTTCTTAGTTACTGTCTCCACCAGCTCCCCGTTCGCAACCGCAGGATTCGGCGAATCACCCCTTGGAGGCCTCTTACTGGCAGTAGGAGACGCCGGGGGGGTTAACCGTTTTCGCTTCAGCATTCCTGCGTTCGTTGTTGGGCCGTCCCCTGGTTCAGCCGAGACGTCCTCCCCACTCTCTTGCGGGTGACCTTCCTTACTTAAATTCGAAGCTCCCACCCCTGCTTTTACGTTGATCTTCAATCCTACATGTGCATTGCCAGATTCAACACAGCTCGTCGACATTGAAAGACTCGAGAGGATTTCCCTGGAACCTCACAGGTAAGGATCGAACTTGCGGCCACTTGGTGACCTTTCTGATTCCTATGAAAAGCTGTAACCCTTTTTGGACTCAAAATCAACTTCTTGAACTAGCTGCGGCATGCCGGCTTCCTGTAAAATCTGCCCTGTATACTCAACGACTGCCACCTCCAAAACTGCTGCACCTCTGGACACATTCCACCATCTAACGGCATTCCACTTGATAATGCACCAAATATTTAACGGCTGCATAAGCAGCAGAGACTGCACCGATCACCGCCAAAGCTTCTGATCCTTTGAATTCTAACAGTCAATGCACCATCAAACCCAAAATATTCCTACACTTGCTTCTACTTCCCCTGCCTGTGCTCGGCGAATTGCCATAAAGCCAAGAGTGAAGCTTTTGATCCTAATTGAACAGATGATGGAAGACATATCCCCGACGTTGGCTATCCTAAGTCGAGGAATTTATCTAACAGTTTATGATTCGAGCCTTCATTCCTCTGAGTATTTCAATTCTAGCCATCAGAGGCACCTAAACCGCACGCGCTGTGTTCCTATGATTCATACCACCGCATCCCCTAAAAATGCTAACACATCCCAAGCTTCTCCTTCCACACACCCGACCTTCCCGGTGCCATACGCGGCTTCAGCTTCCAGGTTTCGTACAATGAGGGCAGCTTACACGAGCTTTTATTCCACCACAGGCCGTGATTCTCAAACGCATTCGACCACACTCTCCCACGTCTCTCACAAACCCTCCCCTCGGTCTAGGTATTTCTGTTCCAATTCACCGCTCCTATTCCTCACGCAATTCGAATCCCTCCCACGGCCCTCTCCCTCCCGAATTCAATCACCACAAACCCCAAAAAACCCAGAACGCCAAGAGTAGCAATCGTGCGATAGAGGCGAAACCCACCAGCGGGAGAAGCCGCAGCAGCTGGCTGACGCCGCGCGGCCATGAGCAGTAAAAACGCCAGCCGTCTCTGCAACTCAAACCCTGGCCATCGCGGCACCCGCACACGCCACCACCGAGACGCCCCAACTCCCTCCCTGTCCCGCTCCACCTGCTGCTGCTCCTCCTGATACTCTTTCTTCTCCTCCTCTTGCTATTGCTACTCCTCGGCGATGAGTGTAAACAAGGAACGGCATAAGACTCGCCATAGCCAGCAGAAAAATAAAAATAATAATAACGAAGATGAGGAGAAAAAAATGATTGGGAGGGGGGGGGGGACGATGGAAGGGGAAAGGGTAGGGAAGTGGGGGGGGGGGGGGTGAAAGAACCAGGGTAGGGAGGGGGAGGGGGGCAAAGGAAGGAAGGGGGAAGGGAGAGAGGGGTCGATGCTGCACTGCACTGCACCGCTGCTGCTTAGGATTCTGTTTCGTATTGGGTACCCTCCCCTCCCTGACGACGTCGTCGAAGGAGGGCAGGGCAGGGCAGGGCAGTAAGGGCCTGGCTGGCTGGCTACACACTCCCCCTCCTCCCTTCACTTCTCCCTTTCTTTCTTCGCCCTTCACCCTCTCCTCCTCCTCTGTCCTCTTTCCCTCTTTCTTGTTCCTTCCTTCCTTGCTTGCTTTATTCTGCTCTCTCTCTCTCTCTCTTGTTGCTGGAGAGTGTTTCTGCTTCTTTGTCGCTGCTCTGAAGGAGGGAGGGAGAGAGGAGGGGGTGTGGCTTTTATGGTTTCTTACCACTAATTCATTCGTGGACATGGGAGGGAGGGAGGGAGGGAGAGAGAGGGTTCTTTCCTCTCCTGAGTGAGTGTGAGTATTGGAGCTTTATGAGAGCAGGAGGGTCTGGGAAGAGGGGGTTTAGCGTTATGGGTTGCATTCCGGACTTGATGGAGAGTTTCTGGTCTCCTTCTTCTTACTTCGTGTTTGTGTTGTCTGCCTCCTTACCTATACAGAAGTGGGTTTCCGTTTATGTTGGGCAATGCCAAGTTGCATGTTCTGGTGCTATTGGTAGAATCCGTTTTGTCAACAACTTTAAATAAATATTAAATAAATATTAAATAATATCCATTTGAGGTTTCTCATGTTTTTTATTCAATGAGTTGAGCATGTTTATGTTTGAACCTTTTTTTAAAAAAATGAAAACCTAGATCATTGAAATTTAATGTCATTTCTGCCTTTTATACCTAATTTTTATTTGTGCAATATCCTTTAAATTGTTAGGTTTTGAATTTTTGTGAGAATTTTGTTTTTTAATTTTAAGAATATAAAAGTGAATATATATTTGTTGTTTTTTTTTTTTTTTTTTTTTTTTTTGTAACTTGATGTCATTGAAGGCTTAATCAATATATGCATTAAATGATAAGAAATACAACAAAACTATTAATAATACTATAAGAAGAAGTGATTTTAGTTTTTTTATACTTTCTCTGTAATACAAGAGAAATCAATCCATCCATCATCAAAATCAATAAAAAAAAATAGATCATTATTAGATTATTCTAATACATATACAAATCAAAAATTGAAAAATAGATTGTGAAGGTTTAATTTGTCATTATAAACATCATAAGAAGATTGATTGGAATAATCATAGGCACTTATCTTTAGATATTTTACTAGAGTTGTGACTAGCTTTGCAACTAGGTTTAAGATAAATAGACTTCTTCTTGAGACAAGATAGAGGACTATCTATTTTTTCAAACTATGTGCAATTCTTCTTTAGTGGATAATTTTGACATATGAAATGACCAAAAATATATTATATGATTATGGTCATTTCATATGATATATTATATCATATGACCAAAAATATATTATATGATTATGGTCATTTCATATGATATATTATATCATATGACCAAAAATATATTATATGATTATGGTCATTTCATATTTGGTTAATTATGGTTGCAACCTCCAACCATAATTAACCAAATCTATCAATTTATAAATTCTAATAACTTTGACATAGATCACAAATCAAAATTAGAAGCATAATATCAACTTTGCAAATTATAGGATATGTAGATTGCAATTCTCAATTTAAATACAAACTCTATATTTAAAACTTATACTTACAAGACCAAGTATAGAGAGTAGAAGAAGAATAATAGTATAAGTTCTAATCCAACAACAAAACAACAACACAATTACAAGCTGCACCCGAAGTTTCACAAGAAGAAAAAAAAAAATCCCAAATTCACCAACAACATTCAATATAAGCACATCAAGAAAGAAATAAGCTCTTGAACTTGTCTTAAGTCAAGTTGTATATTCCATCAACCCAATAGTGAACCAAAATTGCATCTATAATTTTACATGCATTTGCACAATGCTAAAGCATTAAAGCAAACATTGATTTTTACAACTCAATCAAAGCAATTTCACAATGATTTTCATTATCCAATTAAAATAATTTCACCTCCATATTTACAATTCAATCAATATCTACAATGTCTACAACTTAGTCAATTCAATGTGATTGTAAGTTTTAGGGTTTAGTTGGATAAAAAGATAAAAGAAGAATGGCAAGGAATATAGATCCATAATTTTCTTCCTATTTTTCTTGCGTTCTTCTCTCTAAATCTTAATTTTGGTTAAAAAGAAGAGAAAAAAAAAAAAAAAAAAAAAAAAAAAAACATTTGTAATATCTTTGAATAAAAATGAGATGATTGATGGAAGGCACAAGATTTTAAGATTCTCTCTAAGACTCTACTTGTTATTCCCGTTGTATGTCATGTTACAATGTGAGCTTATTCAAAAGCATACCTTTGTGGAGTCTTGAATTCTCTTCTCTTCTATACTCACAATCTTTATAAACTTTAATGGCTAAGCGGTAGTAGAACCTTTGCCTTGTGCATTACCATGGTAGGTGACACATATCTTGATACTAGCACAATTGACAAGGTTAAGGATGGAATTCAGCAAGGTGCCCAAATAGAGAGGATTGTGCTAACTAATGGAGTAAGTGTGCACCTCTCTTATATAAGACAATGATGCATCAACTTTTGCATGGATGTGTGGGATAATGATGCATAAGATACTGCCAATGGAAAGATTTGTTAAGATTAACCAAATAGATGATATGGTGAGTACATATAGTTGTGGAGATAGAATAAATTATTGACTTATGATGTGTGGTTTGTATGGTTCTTTAAGGAAAACAACCCTTCACCATGTAAAAAATACACCTATAAGAACCAGATTTGTGAATTTAAAGAGCTTTATTTTTATTATTTTTAAGTGCTTTCTATATTTAATTATTTTTTTTGTAAAAAATATCTAATTGGTTTTATTAATTGGAAAATATTAAATTGACCATGTTAAATATGCCACATGTACTTGTATAAGTATTTTATCTCTCTAAAATTATTTTGGTGGGTACTACAATTTGCTTGTAAATTAAGCTAAATAAAACTGATCTTATCAAGACATCCAAATTTTCTATTGAGGTGTTGGTACTTCTTATAAGTTTTTATGTTTTTATTCATTTTTTTTTGAAATATTATACTAATAGCAAGTTAAAGAAAGTGAAGCAAAAAAATGGATAATGCAATTGCTAACATACTATATTACTAGATGTTGTAAACTATATTTATCAAGCATTATACACATTCTTTTTGCACAATAAATGAAAGCCCTTGCAGATCTTATGGATAACAAAGTACTTGTATTTGTGGCATCAGATGTAATAATTAGAGGCATGGATGTGGAGGGTGTTGCAAATGTGATCATCTATGATATTTATATCTATTCTAAGATATTTTTATTAATGGTTATAAATATCAAGTAATGTAGTATCAAGATGAGAGAAACAAGGTAGCTTGCATAAGCACAACAAGATTACTTTATATGCACTTAAATAAAAATCATATTATTTTACCTAAGCTTCTATAATCACATAAGTACAAATTATATTATATTAGCATGCTAGAATAGTATTTTAGTTTCAACTTATATTCAAACCACTTAACCATTAGATCATTACAAATTCAAAATGTATTCAAATGAGGTTGCAATACTTAATAATGGTGGTGTACATGCATATGCTTAGAGCTCTCTTGTGCCTTAATTGTTCTAATAATCGTGGGAGTGCATAAATCTATCTAAGCTTTTCTTCATATCTTTGAATGTATCAAATAACTCATCCAGTAGAAGGTACATAATAAGTAGATTTTATTTTATTATTTTGGAGTGAAACAATTCCAAAGTGGCCAGTATTCCTCCCTCCATCCTTAGATAGAAGATAGCACAACAAAAAATTGTAAAACTTATATTGTTAAAGTGTAACAAGGTAGAAGAGAATTGTGCAAATTTAGAGACACAATGAAATAGACAACATGAACATTATAAACACATATGCCAACATAAACATTCTCTTGTATATGTGTATAAAAATATAAAGCTTATAAGATAATATTATAATGTTATTGAAATTTCAAAAACTATTATTATTAGTTTAAAATGTATCTTATTGAAATATATATATATATATATATATATATTCTAAATACTAGTTTTATGAATAAGATAAAAGAACTATCTAAATTAAAGAGGAATTGTTTTATATATGGTACTTATCTACTTCAACATGTATTTCCAACAGAATGTGGTTGCTTAATTGGACAAAGAATGTAAGATTCTTCAGCCAGAAACAATTCACAAATTTTAGATTTTTATATTGACAGTGGATAAGTATCTTGAGAACTTATTATTTGGTTTTAAAATTAAAATCATGATACTTGTTTTTCTTGAGAAATTTTGTTTCCAAAACAGTAATTTTGACTCAATAAAAGTACAATTAGTTTTGTTTTTCAACAGTAGTTTTGATGCAATAAAAGTACAATCAGTTTTGTTTTCAACAAACCTATGATATTTCAAAGCAATAGTGTTTTCCTCTATCAATGATTGTAACATAGTAATACATGCATGCCATGAATTCATTTCACAAAATTTTGAGTTTCATCAAAACTGAAATTGATATTTTTTTATGCAATATAAAATTTTCAAAATAAAGCTTATTCAAAAACATAAGAAATTTTCATAATTGATACTTATTATTAACTTGGATTACATCAAAGTTCATGATTATTGGTAATCTATTTATAAAATAATTCCATTAAAAAATTAAGACTAGGAATAAGAAGACATTAAATATATATATATATATATATATATATCTTTAATATATATGTGTATATGTGTAATAAATATATATATGTATCTTATCACTTTCATTTAAAATTAATTTTAGTACTTTGTGGAGTTAAAAGCACGGCTGAATGGAAAGGAAAATCAAACAATGTTGTTACTTTTGTTTAACCTGTTTTGGATAACTAAATAAAGTAAACCTTCACTGCTTTGCGATCCTGATCTTACAAATTGTTCACTATTTCAGTGAGAGAGAAGAAAGACCATACGAAAGCAAGAACACGTAAGAAAGAGAAAGGAAAAAGTCGAGAAAAGCGAAAGATAAGGAAAAAGGCAAAGGTCCAGGTGTCCGTGGATGGGACCCGCGCTGACATGTCAACCCGGCCCCCCATCCAACCGTGCGTGCGTTCGTACATGCGTGCGACGCCGAGGTCGCTCCGTCCCTCACGTTTTGCCTAACGCACATCGATCAGCGCACGCACTCTCTCGCTCTCTCTCTCTCTCGTTGCTCGTCTCCGATTGACCCCGACATTGTATTTGCCGTGTGTGAAGGTTGTAGACGACAGATTTATGGCTTGAGCGACGGCATTTGCATGAACCTGCAGTGT